TGTGAGGTTGTATGAACACTATTTTAGTTATATTGCTACAATAATCAAATATATGTGATGATGAATACATAATATATTGTTGTATTGTTATAAGGTTGTATGAATACTGTTTCAGTTCTGTTGCTAGAATAATCATGTACATAACTTATGTTTTGAAATTCGAAACTGTGCAACTTGTATTGCCGTAATAATCATGTAAATAAGACAATTACATAACAATTTGTCTTTACTATTAGAATATATGACTAGTGTTTCATTTGTATTGCTTCAATAGTTATGTATGTATGGAAATAATTACAGAAGATATCTTCTTCATGGCGAGTTTTATTGAAGAGTATTCATATAAGGTAATAATTGAAATGAATACATGCGTTATTATAAGGTTGTATAAAAACTTTTTTAGATATACAGCTAAAACAATCATGTATATAAGGTCGCTTAATAACTTCAGAAGATATTTTCTGTATTGCGAGGTTGTAGAAAACCTTTGATATTCTAATGCTACATTAATCTTATAAATAGGATAATAATAACATAATATATTTGTTTCACTTGTATGAATAGTGTTTCAGTTATATTACTACAATGATAATGCACACCAGATAATACAATCAATAAGTAAATGGTTCATCATCAATTACTATGAACACTGTTAACCCTGTATTGCTATAATAATCCTGTAAATCAGACATTACTAATACTTACAGACCAAACTGTCTTTACTATACGCCTATATGACGAGTGTGTTATTGTATTGCTGCAATGGTCATGTAAATAAGATAATACTTACCGAAGATATTTTCTGTATTGCTAGGTTTATGGAGAGCGTTCGTCTGTTTTACTACGATATTCATGTATATTAGGTAATAACTGAAATGAATAAATGCGTTAAATACTAACAAGTTATGTGAAAGCGGTTTAGATGTATGGTTACAACAATGTATATACGGTAGATCAATAATTTCAGAGGATATTTTCTTTATTGCAAGGTTGTAGAACACTTTTGCGGTTCTGTTGCTACATGAATTATACTTTGGATAATAATTACAGTTGTATGAATGCTGTTTCAGTTCCATTTCTACAATGATATGGTAATAAATACTACAAATATTTGATTCATCATGAGGTGCCTTGAAAACTGTTAAATTTGTATTGCTATAATAATTATGTAAATCAGACAATACTTACAGACCAAACTGTCTTTACTAAACGCCTATATTTCTAGTGTTACATGTGTATTGCGACAATGATCACGTACACAGGACAATACTAACATAAGATATTTTTCTTCATGACAAGGTTTTGTGAAGAGTTTTCATTTGGCTTACTACGGTGATCGTGTATATTAGGTAAAAACTGAAATGAATGTATGTGTCATTATATTGATTGCCGGTAAGAAAACGGTTCTAGTTGTACGGCAACAACAACCATGTATATAAGTAAGATAGCTTAATAATTTCAGAATACATTTTCTTTATTGCAAGGTTGTTTGAAAGCTGTTTCAGTTTTATTGATCCAGTGTATTTACATTAGGTAAAACATGTAGTATATATTATCATTTTAGCCTTCGAACTATGTATTGATGACACCTGCTTTCCCATATGACCACATGTGTATGCAGTGTTTTTTTAAACTGTTCAGTTTTCAAGATTGCATATCGTTATGATTTGTATTTGTATTATCATTTTCTTTGTTATATGGTCCTTTATGGTTAAAGTCGCCAAAAAGAATTGATATAAGTATATATTTCATTTTATTTACTTCTTTATTTCTTGCATTCAACATACTTTGTATTATCTATATTAATATTATCTATATTTGTTTCGTAATTTTAATTACTGCATTGACTGCTTTGAGTATTTTCTAACGTTTCTAACATGTCTTTAATTTTCAATTTTGTCATGGTTCTATAGTACCAAGACGTACAGCTGTACTAAAACCAATCGTATTTCAATTCATTTGAAAAATAATGTGATTTTAATATAAACCTGAAAATTAATCAAATAAATAATAAATATGAACACAATCAACATTTTCCCAATGACATCCAAGGACATGTTATACTATGAAGCAAAATAAATAATCTCCAACAGTCAAAACTAGAGTTAAGTTTCTCTTTATTTACAGCACAATGTACACACATGTATTGGGAGTAAACTGTTAAGCAACAAAACATGACTTTAAAATAAAAAAAGAAATCTACATGCATTTCAATCAAGTAAAATGTTACTTACCATAGAAATATAAACATTGAAGTTAAACAACAATATTTATCAAAATTATGATTTGGGTGATAATCAACACATTTTCCTTCTGCTAAGAGTAAAAAGGGGGCATTAATCCAATTATCCAAGTCTCTCAGCATGAAGTTTCCCATCTTTCTGGCTCTCAACCAATTTTTTTTTCTTTCTTCAGAGTAAAAGAACTTAAAAGTTATGACTATTGAATAATGAATGATAACAATAAACCAATGAATAAGCAGTATATTCCATAAATGGATGGATTCGAGGATGATCTTTCATTTCTTTAACTTTTTGTTGTTGAATAGTCCAGGGACCCGTTTCACAAAGCTTTGTTTCAATGATAAATGATAAAAATCAGTGACAAGTCTGCTGATAACCAATCAGAAGCAAGGATTTCAGTAGCTTATAACAACAACTGTCATTTGTCACTGATGACAAGTTTTGTGAAACACCCACCAGTTCTATCCTCTTAATTAACAAAACTGCATCACGTGTATTTATTGACCAATGTGACAATTATCAATACTGATGTTCACCAATCATATCTTTCTCAAGTTCATGATGTTAAATAAGAAGTTAATTTGACTAAAAATAATATTACGTAAGATATAATGAAAAAGTCCATTGGGCAGTTTAAGAAAAAAACTACGTCCATGTTTATATTCTCCAAAACACCTTGACAAAAATACTAAATAATGATGTTTGCTGTTGAATCTAAGGACGGATTGAAAGTTAATAAATACTTGAATGTGCCCTTTTACGCTCAAATAATGCAAATAAAATATCGCCCAATTTAAAGGACTATTCAAGTATTATAAAATAAATATTGATCACTGACACATGAAGCAAAATCTGCAGAAATTACATAGGATAAGAGCACCGTCTAGTAACAGCCCCTCTACTTGTGATTCAACGAATGAGAACAATAAGTTTAAAAGTGCATTGACCTAACCAACCAATCAGGACCCTTAGAAACCAACATATAATTCACCAGGTGAGATTCTGTATCCCGTACACACTGTAGACAATCGTTTCACAGCATAAACAAATTTACATCAAGCATGCGAAGATATAAACATCAAAATTGAACTTTTATAGGTCAAAGATGAAAAGTATTATTATAAATTGTACACACAAAAAAATGAATTATGCAACATGTTGTAATTTATGCTCAAAAACATTGCATTGAGAAACCATGCATATGTATTATAATTACAATTAGATGTATAAAAATTGATATAGGGCCCCTGTGTTGCTCAAAGTTAACGAAAATATGACATGTCAAAAAGGGGCGAGGCGTATCTTCTTTGTTTAAAATCACATATATTGTAAACGGGTGTATATGTGCACATCTCTGTATATACTTTCACATCTCAGTGCTACTCTCAACACGCTACTGGCACATTAAAAAAAACATATATTGCGTCATACACAAGAACTGTGAGATTTCTGCTTGTTCATACCCCCAATAGTATTTGTTCAGAATATTTTCAATCAAACAGTGATACTTCTTCACACAAAATGCATGTAAATATTCTACAAATAGAAAAATGCTTTGGACAAATCGATTATATTGCATGAATAATGTCATCGTGCAATTATTTACACAGTGGACGGATAAATATAAAATATTTGAAACAGCACTTCTCTGAAAGTTAAAAGGCAAAATATTTGTTCATATTTGTACAAAATTCAATACAACTCTGGATAAAAATAAAGCATTATCTTGTGATGACACAACAAAAATAATTGTTCAGTGGTTTGTAATAATACTCTCAAAAATTATATAATATATTTCTGAATCGAAACTTGTATACATCTGCATGAGAGAAATGAAATATTTCCTAGTAAATGAAAGCCATTGATCTGGACGGAATGGTTCAAGAGAAAGCACATTTGAATATTCAACTCAAGTATATATTTTTATCAAGGATCAAATTGTGTTTACATCAAATATTTATAACAACATTAGTGCTAAATTATAGCTAATTTCTGCCTCCTTATTAAAATGTGTGACTGCAAATGGAAGAATGATTATGGCATACAATTACTTATCTTTGTAAAACTAGAACAATATTAAGGCCGAAAATGCTGAATGCAAAAGCACCATTCCACCTTTGGTTTGAGAATATCGGTAATACATTTGTTCATTCTCGATAATAATCTCACTTAAATGTACATCTAACTCAACATCTCAAGAAAAGATATACAAATCTTAGCTAAATTTGTTCGGCACAGTGTATACGTGAGTACCAATTGTTCATCGAAGAATAAGGCTAAATGTGAACACACTTCCCTTTATTATAAAATTATTTTTTTTAAACTTTTGTTTAATCTTGATTGTAAAAAAAATAATTGTATACATTGCTTAAAGATAAACTCCAGTACTGGTAAAAAAAAAAAAAAGTAATTCTCACAGAATCAAACGAAACTTACACTGAATGTTCAAGATTACAAATAAATGACATGTGCCAAACAATTTTGGAAGAAAATGTATACTGGCTGAGTAATGAGCATAGAAAGACAAGGAAATCAAGGTAGTACTAGCCCCGACACCATGTGTGTTGTCCCATATATAGCTTTCTATGTGAGTGCTTGTTACTTTACCAAGACTCGGTCAAATTTATTATGATTTTGATGACTCCAGAACCTTGCAGTGCACACCAATACTTACATGCTACATGATCAACTGTTTCTGATCCTTTCCACACCTTTTCTTTCACAATGCAATCGCATTACCAGTACTAAAGTTTATCTTTAATACGTCAAACAAACTAGAAATTTGTCTGTACTGTGTTAATCGCCTCTCTGTTTTCACACAGCTTTGTACATGCAATGTTATTACAGTTTGATCTTTTCTAACCCGCATTCTTTCAGGAGGATTATGCTTCCCTCTGTTGTTTAAGCACCCTTTCAGTAAGAATAAAGGGCACAAAGTATAGGACATAGAAGTAAACCATATATACAAAACATTTTTAACATCTACGTAATTAAATATATGTAGCGTTACATTCTATACACCAAAGCCAAAGTGAAAATGATTTATTCAGCGGTAGCAACTGCTGAATGCCCCGATCATATAATTCACCTTAACCCTAACACTGACCCTAACCCTAAAACAAATTCATGGTTAAGATGATGATGGGGCGTCCCACAACTACACCCTTCAATACAATTGGTCAGTCTCTTTATTTTTTGTGCGCTACAACAGAAACTAAAGACAAGCGAAGCCATAAGATGATTCCTTACACCGCATCGATCGTTATTCAGCCTAAAAAGGGGAGAAGAGCTTTGTGCTTTACCGGTAGTTCGGTACCTTTCATAAATAACTATTGTACGTTAGCACTTAGCAGCATCTATATCATCCTTCTTTAACAAAGTATATCATTTTGTATATAACTATAGGCGATATTAACTGGCCTGTCTTGATGAATAGAGGGAGCTATACAGAAATATGATTGTCAGTTATATCAGTGCAGCACTTCCAGTCTCAACAGCTCTCTACATACTAGTGATCTAAAAACTGAACTTAAATAAATAATCATAAATATGTGATGATAAGGTGAAATAGATACGTACTTCTAAGTATGGCTGCACCACTGATGTTTCTAAATAGTTAAGAGGCCTTGACAAGTACTGGTGTATATATTTTTTCCAAGACAAAGAAATTCACATAATAGGATGGTTGATCAATCACGCATAAATCTTATGACATAGTTATACTAATTTCAAGCCTTTATTTTATTTCTTTTTTGCATTAACTGCAAGAATGTCTTTGAAAGAGTGAAGAGGAGGGAGGCTTGCCGTTCAATATTTACGATGCAATTAGCCACCACAAAAAACAAGTTCTTTTTCTACTAAGCTCATTTTCTCTCATATTTTATGTTTTTTGTGAGAAAAATTAGGTGAGCGCGGTATGAAAAAAGTTTGGAATGTCTGGTTTCTTGCCCTCACTCCTAGAAAGATCTCAGCATATGGGTCTATGTCTCTCTTTTCTACATTTCTCAGATACACAAACTGTGATACAGCTCTCCTTTCTTCCTACCCACCATTTCTTCATGTACTCCAAGAAAGTTCTCAGAAAAAACATCTATTTCTACCCTAAGAAATCTTGTAGGAAATATACAAGGTCCTATCTTTCCTTCGTTTCTTACACCTACTGCAAGAAATATCTTTGGAAAGTATTTAACTTTCGAGTTCAGTCTTTCGTTCTTCACTATTACTGCAAGAAAGCTCTAAGGAAATCATTATAGGGGACTCTGCCTTCGAGGGCTTTATCGTAGTATGTCGTCAATTGATAGAACTCCTCCTCGGACAGATTGATGCTGAACTGACGGAGCGTGTCGCGGAACTGATTCGTCGTGATGACGCCCTCTGCTGTCGGGTCAAGGAGGCGGAAGGTGCGTCGCATCTTCTTCCAGTTGTTCGTGATGGTGTCGCGTATTCGCAGCATCGCCTCAAGCATGGCACCAGACATCCGGCTTCCAGGTTTGATCTGTGGGTACAAACAAATAGAATATTAAATATCAGGCAGGGTTATTCTTGGTTATCTTTACTTTACTTCAAGGTTTCAAGGTTTCTTTTATTTTTCACATAATATAACATAATAAAATTAATATGAAATATATATAAATTCAATAATATAATATGAACCAAACATTTTACAAATGTTTATACAATTGTTTAAATTAATTGGCACAGTGGTAAAACATAGCGATGGAGTCTATTTAAAAAGCATGGCTTGTATTTTATAGACCCTTTTAATCCAATGATGTTGGTAGGACAGGGCCTGTTTATCGATCGATTGAGTTCCTTTACATTAATACTTCAGTTCGTTGTGATTTTGTGTTGTGAATCATCTTGGAAAGTGGTAATTCCAGAGGGCAATGCCAGTGAAATATGCTCCCTTGTCGATAGATTTCTGGATATGCCATTTGTGTATTTCTTTTTATTTTGTGACCTATTTCGTTGCCTATGCAGAAGAATTTAATACAGTAAAACCTGTGTTAACGACCACCTGTCCATAACGACCATTTAAAATCTCCCCGTGAGATTTCATGAACCTGTACACTACGACCACCTGTCAGCGACCACTCATTTTGCTTCTGCTGGCCACCGAAAATGCCCACACAACAACCGCCATCGCCAGCCGTACAGCGACCAACAAGTGTAGCCACTAGCGACAGCAGGGCACGAACAATTTTGCTCACAGCTACGCGATCGTCGGCACAGCTAGCGGCAGCTTATGAAGCTAGATCTAACTATTCAATCATAAGCTTGTATTAAAACTTCAATCAAAACAAATACCGACAGGATATTGTTTCTTGCACATTTCATTATTGGCTATGCCTATTGAGAACATAACAATACTGATTCATTGTAATGAACTTCAGTCGCCGGCCAAGCTAGCCTGCAAGATCAAGAGGCATGGTGAGTGGGTGTGGCCTGTCTATCAATCAAATTTTCAGGCTCGTTTATTTTATTTCTTCTAAATAATTTTGTATATGCGTTTAAAATAATGGCGGACAATTTCAAAGATAGAAAATCATATTTAATCATTTCTTAATTTATTTTGACTAAAAACCTTACCACTTTGTTTATTTAATTTTTAAACACTAAAAAAAAAAAAAAATACGGCAAAACGGTAACGGTTGGCATCTCTGCCACTATACCTTTTCAGTAATGTTAATCCCAAAGACATTCAATGGTAAGGATAAATAACTTACTACAATCTTAGACTGGTGTATCTTCTCTCTGCTGAGTAGGGATCTTTGTTCCGGTTCCTCGTTGATCTTCTTCAGGTTCAGCATGAAGTGCTTCAAGAACTCCAGGTAGGAAAACCTGATGAAATTGAAATAAATAAAAGCAAATCTAATAAAAGTGGTATGTAGTAAGCTAATCTTCAGGATCAGCATTACTTCCAAAAAAAGAGGTATGAAAACCTGATGGAATTTGGAAATGAAATGAAAGAAAATAAAGTGAATCTAATAGAAGTGGTATGTAGTAAGCTAATCTTCAGGACACTTTGTTCAAGTAAAACTTTTACTTAGCATTTGACTTAGCTGAGTGAAATGTCTTAACTTGTATTCAGATCACATTTAATCAATTTACTTTCGCAAGCCAACTTCAGAGCACTGAAAATACTTACTGATAAGCATTGTGACATCACATGGTCAATTTACGAGTTGCATTAAATGCACGCTTGTACAATTGTGCCTATGAAAACCATAAGCCTGCCAATCAATGCCTCAAAACTATTTGGCTGGAGACTGCTCAGGAGCTGTCTTAAAATTAGGGTAAAATACTTAGCCAGGAGCATCCACTCAATTCTGAAGAATTTTATCTAAGCCAAAACCCGAGTAAAACACTCCTATTTCTGACTTAAGTATTAAATTGAATGCCCACCCAGAAGTACAAAAGCCACTTACTTTCCGTTTTCTTTGAGATCAAACTTTGTCATGAGTCTGCTGAAGTCATCCATGGATATGGTCACGTTGAACTGTGTCATGATATCTGAGATAAAAACATGGAAGAAGGATCTTTAGAATATTTCACCAAAACTTTATATAGAAAAACCACACACATCACATGTATACATCAATCATGTTATCCAATGAATTCAATTACAACAATTATCATCCTTACCTCGGAAAGCTTGGACGTCGACCTCGCCCGAGTTGTCCAGATCGTGAAGCTTGCAGAGGCGGTGGACCTCTTGCCAGTGCCTCTGGATCTGCTTCCTAAGCCTCTGCTCCGCGTTCTCTGCGTTGACCAGAGGGGTCATGGACCTACGACCTGCAGGAGTGTAGGACTGCATGGTGATGGAATGAGAGAAGAGGAATAGAATTAAGATTAGAATGCGTTCAGCATGCTACGACAGCTGGGTTAAAGCCAGGGTAATAATACATGTTGTTCTTTGTAGGCGCCTTGATCATCCCCTGGTAAACTTAAAGCAAGGGTAATTATATGATATTGGATGGCTTTGAGTGTGATACAAGAATATATTGCTCAAGCTATGACAATATTGAACGAGTCGGAGACGAGTCCAATATTGTCATTGCGAGAGCAATATATTCTTGTATCACAAGAAAACAAAGCTATATAATATTATTATTATTATCTTCATTAATCTGCCAAGTGAAATATTAACATTTGACTTACTTCAGTATTAGACATGGCTTTTTTTTTTAATGATATTGATATCGATAGTTGAAGTTTCCGGATGACTGAGCTATACGATAACAATATTGATCAGTCATCCAGGTACTGGGCTAAAGATATTAATTACACTGATTTATTGTACCACTTGGAGGCCTTATATAGATAATAATAATACATGTTGTTCTTTGAAGGCGCTTTGAGAATCCCCTGGTATGGATATGTCCGCAATACATTGATGTGCATTACTTTTCTCATTATCATTAACAGGATGCTATTATTATCAAAATTTAAAAGCTGCTTCAATGGATCATTGACCATTGCAGTAGACATAAACAACAGCAAAACATAATTAAAACGATGAATAAGTGAAAATAGAAGTCACATTTATCACCTGATCCAAAATTAAGATTTTACATGTCAATTTTTAATTTTTTTTAAGGTATATATATATATAATATGATCTGTTGAAAATCACTTTTGAATCAAAGATAATTTAATGAAGCTTTTGCTGCAAATGACAGAGAGAAAAAGAGAGTGTCAGATAGAGAGAGAGAGAGAGAGAGAGAGAGAGAGTTTAATGAGGGGGATGGAGGTACATGTATATAGAGACAAAGAGAGAGTGAGATTTAGAGGGGGGAGTGAAAACAGATTGGGGGTGGGACAGTGGGATAGTACATGAGAGAGAAAGACAGAAAGACGGAGAGACAGATTGACTTACCATACGGCTCAAGGGTGTCATGGGTACTAGAGGAGTTCCTAGTCCTTTCATCACAGATCCAGGTCTATTTCCTTTGGCCTGGGACCAGCTCTCATCCCCTCCCTGGAACACATCATCTTCCCATTCAGCGTATTCCTTCAAGAAGGCTCTGTAGTCCAGGTTCCCATAAGGGTTCAACTCGAACGAGGACCAGAGAGTGTTGAACTGTAGGAAGGTCAGCAACAAGAAAAATAATAATATTGGATATTTATATAGCGCACATATCCATCATGCATGGTGCTCAAGGCACTCCAACTATTACCCCTGCTCTGCTAGGCAGCCAGTTTCGGCGCCCACAGCATTCAAGGAATTCCTTCCTATCGGTACCCATTTAACACCTGGGTGGGGAGTGGCAAATGTAGATTAATATCTTGCCAAAGGACATTAGTGCCGTGGCCGGACTCGAACCGCAGACCTTGTAATCCACTAGACCACAACATCTCAAAGATATGTCCACATAGAATGTAATTAACGCTTCTTTCCTCAAGTTTGTCAGAAGGGTTGAAAGCTATACTTGTTGCATATTATGATATTCCATATTCAATGAACCAAACCTATACAGAAAGACCCACCCCAGGGAGACACAAAAAGTGGTCTTTAGCACATTTTTAAATGAGAGTTGTTATTACTGTGAACCTTGTTTATAAAAGACCACTCAATGGAGACAAACAGGTGGTCTTTATGTAAAGGTTCCTTGAGAACATGTTTCAATTGGAAACACTGTTCAAGAGAAAAAAAAATATGTGGTCTATAAAGACAGGTGGTCTTTCTATACAGGTGATCGCCCAAAGCAGGTTTGACTGTACTTGCTTGCTTAGCAGTTGGGACCAATGTGCATACATGTAATGTATACATGTATGTTCTTATGGTTGCACAAGGTTTCTTTGATAAGCATGACTTAGATAAATATATCTGCAATCAACGATAAGTTCTATGTCCCTACCTGATCAATGCTCAATCTGAAAGCAAGCTCATTGAGGACTGCATTGAAGTCATCCCGTGCCACCACGCCGATGTTCGCGTAGTCGATCTCGGAGAACCGTTCTGCAAAGCGGTAGAAGCGTGCCTTTACAAGCTGTCGGAGCTCTTGCTTGATTTCATCAATGGTGGGTGAGGAGTGGTTGTTGTTCTGGGCGTCACTCTTCTGGACCGACTCGATCCAGTTCTGAGCAAGCTGGAAAGAAGATGTGATTCATGATCACTAATTAAACTAGACTAGCAGGACCCGTGGAAAATCCACGGGATTCTAGGGGAGGGGGCCAAATAGATAGATAGATAGAGGCCTATGTGCTATCCAAAAAAATTTTAGATTATCTTTATATAGAGAATTTTTATAATATATGCTGTTTGACCATGAATGGCGCATCGTAAAACAAACTATGTCAGATAGGATCTCGATAATTACTATTTATTTGCATTATAATTGTTGTGATTTCAATGTAGTTTCATAAAAAGACTACATATGCAGAGGCTTGGATTATGATTATGTTGGCATTGTTCACAAAATGTGTATAATTATTTTCAAAGTAAAGATTTTACGCGAAAAATCGGACGGTTTGTGCACAAATTGACTCGACTGTGTGTGGGACTGTGAACGTAGAATCCAGTGAAAGATTTTTTTTTCGGGGACTCGATCTATATCAAATTTTGGGAAAATTGTTGGGGGCTACTTTTTTTTATCTTTCGGGGGCTCATTTTTCTTGGGCTAATTTTTCATTAATTCATTTAAAGATGCAGTTTGTTTAGTTTAGTAGCGTAGTGTTACGTAAAAAAAGGCGTACTTTCTGCGTCCATCTTGCGTACTTTTTTGCGTCCCTCAGGGTATAGTAACGTAGGCCAGCGTATATACTCTCAGCTCAGCGTAGTTGATACGCAACTCTACTATGGACCCCACGCCAATTAGTAATCGACCTGCCAGTGTCACAAATAAGGCATTAAAAATATGCTCATCTGACCGTAATTAAATGCCTAAAACCCCTGAGCTTTCGGGGGTTCAGCCCTTTGTACCCGTGGACACCACGCCTGCACTCAAATCGCTTTGAGTTACCTGACCCCCCCCCCCCCCCCATATTTTAAAAATTGATTTGACGCAAGAACTGTATCATACTAAAAGTATTATCATGTTTTTAAACGACCATGACGACCGTCTGATTTTCTTGTGAAAACTTTACTTTGAAAAATGATTATCGAAATTCAGTATACAACTATACATGGCCAGAATAATCACAATCCAAGCCCAGGTTTCATACATCTATTCACGAAACTATATTGAAATCGGGGCAATAATAGCAATTTCAAATTGTTGTTTAGACTCTCCTCACACCACGGACAGACCTGGCTACTCCGGTCACCGCTACTCCACGCTCACACACTCAGCTCCGACAGCACCCCCGACAGCAGCGCTCAGCTGCCGTGGCAATACACTGTGGACTCAAGGCAGTTTGCAACTGAACTGTCACGTGAAGGCGTACTATCACAGATCTATTTGCGCTATTCTTGTTGTGATTTCGATGTAGTTTTCATGAAAAGACCAATAAAACAGAAGCTTGGGCTATGTTTATGTTGGCATAGATCACAGAATTTGTATAATTATTTTCAGAGTAAAGATTTTACGTGAAAATAGGTCCATGGTTTGCGCCAGTTGTCGCAATCGCCTCGACTCGAATCGACTGTGGTGTGTGCATGTGTGTGACCTGAGAGCGTGTAATACACGTACACTGTGGGCGCCTGGCCTACAAAGCATATCCTATAGAAAGACGCATAACACGGGTACGCTCAACCCGTTGAGCGTACATATTGGCTACATCCCATCACCCGGGTGAGTCGTCTGTTGATGTGTATTTCTCTTACACGCTACAAAGCGAATCCTATAGCAAGAGGCCTTACTCGGGATACGCCGCAGCCTTTTACAATAAGACTTGCTACACCCGTTGACGCGAGTGGATTCTCGTCCATCGTGTGTCTCTTCGTCTCTCTTTGATAATTAGACAGAGGGCGGGTGCACGCCTTGCGGACTCGCTCTCGCGGGTTCGTCGCCTCCTCGCAATCCACGACGCCCGCCGTGCTCTCGTCCGCCCGTCCTCCCCGGCACCCCGAAACCGCGTTTAACGGCGTGGACGTCGATCGCGGGGTCGACGTGGCACGCGGGTTACGGGAGACAGGCCTCGTGGAATTGTGCCGCCCTCCCCGCGCCACGGCGGAGGCGGGCGGGGTCGGGGAAAGACGTTTTTGAGGAACCGTTTTGTACCCGTTTGGACCCCCCGCGGCGATTTTGCGTATTAATAATATAGATAGAACTTTGTCTGCGCGCAGTAAAAAAAATGATGCCTCCGCCATAGAGCACCAATTGCGCATTTTCTCATATACATGTAGGATAACTCTTATGTTTTTAGTTATATCTATGAATTTATGCAAGTTCTTCAGCCACGTAAGTTCATTTATCATTTTCATGATATACCATTATAATGATTACCTTTCAAAAATATATGTTTATTTCATTAATTGCATATTCTCCTTATTGTAAATCTTCTCAATTCAGCAATTGGCTGCGACGAAAAGCTCATAAAACCTTCAATCCTAGTGAACAGAAAGTTGGAGAAAAAAAATATAACATGTTGGTTGTTTAATTACCTCTTGTTCGTTGGCCGAGAACTCGTCCAGGAATGCTGGGTAACTGATTGTCAGGTCAGAGTTCACCCGTAGTTTGGTCATCAGTGACTTGAACTGTTTGTCCGTCATCTTGAAGCAGAAGTGATCGAGGACTCGACGGAAATCACCGGGGCTCAGGCGGCCACGCTTGTCCTTGTCGAACGCACCAAAGGCCTGAGGGTTACCAAGAAAGAGCATTGAGGCTGAGATCTTTCCTGTACTAGACTGCAAATCATTTGGCGGTGAAATGAGTGCAATTTACACAATTTAAATGTGATATGAACCTCAGAATAGTTTTTCACTTCATACAATTTAAAGATTGGTATAACAGAATGGGCTGTTTTTCTAATGCATTCACCTTTAATAAAAAATCATTCAATTTTGAAGAGCCTGGTGAACAACCATTACGTCACCTTTTATGAGTTAATATAATTCAATAGTCAGAATGCAGATTGCATTGCAGGGAATTTAAAGCCCCACTGCACTAGTTTGGCCAGGAGGGATTAGACCTCCATGCATGGTCACTGACAAGTGGTTATCTCAAATACCGGTAAGCTCTTAATTAACATAAGAAAAAGGGAATCATGGGGGACCAATGGTCGCCGATTAGGCATCATTTGCTATATAGAGGGCGCAAGTAGCTATAAGTAGGGCAGTGGGGCTTTAAACCTTGATAGCAAACTACTCTAGTAGAAAGCAAAAAATCAAATAAACAAGACTGGTGAATGTTTGAATGAATTCAGACCAAAACAAATTAATTATTTAAAGTTGTAATCACTGGAAAGCTTGAACTTACTGCTTGTAAGGTAGCTACATTTTGTTGCACTTGTTTCCTGAGCTTGCGCAGGGCCTTGTCTGAGGTAAGACTGGAGAACATCTCTGGACGAACCTCCGGCAGGTTCTTCTTCTGGTATCTCTCCTCCCGTCCCTCGTCAAAGGCCTTCAAGAAATCTTCATAGTTTAGGGTGCTCTTGCTTGTTGGTAGTCCAGTCCTGAGATGGAATTAGGTTTAAGGGGTAACGTTTCAAATGTGGGTTTTTAAAGTCTGAAGTACATTGCATTATGATCACTGTCACTTTATTTTTTTTCTATCTGGATACAGATTTAATTTGCAATCACGTGTTTTTTCTAATGTTAATTTTTTTGTTGAAACAAGACATGTCTTGTGATTTCTTCATAATTCTTCTGCCAATTGATTATATAATGATTGCTACTTTAATTACAATCCTGCATCTCATACTTTATTTTTAGCAATATCTTTTCCATTTCAATCAATTACATAACCTTTATCATCATCAACCTAATCATCAATGTCATCGCCAGTACTATCATCATCATCGTCATCATCACTACCACCACCACCACCACCACCACCACCACCACCGCCTTTCCATCTCTCTTCTCACCTCTTCAAGAACTGCTCCAGGGTGTCATCATCCACCAGATAGTTATGACTGAGAAGGACATCCTGAAGCTCTGCGATGGTGATGCGTCCACTCTTGCTCTTGTCCAGCTGAGCGAAGGCCTCCTGGAAGGTGCCGTACTTGTCTCTCATCCGATCCTTGAGATCCTGCAGGAGCTTCTCCACCGAGATGAAGGCTCCCTTGGACGCCTGGTGGATCGTGATGTTGATCCTAAAGGAACAGATTGTGCATTATATACCTCACTTTAGAAATGTAGCCATCTGTCGAAATTGGAGTCGTGGTTTTAGCCATACCCGCCTACCGGTCAATAGTCTTTTTAAAAATGCCCTCATGCTGTGATCCCCATTGGTTTACGTGTTAAAACTGTGTTTGTGCGAGCACGGACACCATACAATGCTTTTTGTCTGCGATTCCCAAATGATAGAAACCTTCAGTCATTTTTCCAGCGAAGGTTAACAGACAGTGTCTCAGATTTTCTGTGATGGTTTAACCAACTGTTAGTCATGGCAGGATATGCACACGTTCCCTCAAGCCTATAAAACAGCCAGGCCTCTCAAAGCAGTCGATATCTCTATAATATTACATTCAATCATTATTTTCATCATCATCATTTAATCATTAAATTATTTAATCTCAGACCAATAGGGAAATTTCCTTATCTCAACCCACCAACATGAATGTACTTATAAAGCCTTATTTGGACATGAGGCCATAAACCCCACACAAATGCTGTGGCAAAAAAAAAAGCAGAGTGTGTAACAAACTCCTATATCTATGTCAACACAGGGGCCATTATAAGAAAGAGCTGACTTTTTGTTTACCTCTGCAAAATTGCTTCTTGCCTTTTATATAGTCAATAATGAAAACAATTATTTTTTCTTTTTATCAAATATTGCATATGGTTATACCTTCACACATAAAAGCTCACATAAAAGATGTATATTGACTCTAGTTTAAATTAGTAACAATTTGTAGATTCCTAAAAGTATTAACTTTACAAATGTAAGGACAACGGAATGGAGGAAGCGTACTCATAAGAGAGCAAAAGGACACCCCGTCCAGTGCCAATAAGTCAAGTCAAATAAGTCATTAACTCTACCACTGATTCATTTCTAACATACCTGCCAACATTTGAAAATAAGAATATAATTTCTAGCACAGTATACCTTCGAAAATAAGAAATCTGTACCCTTAACAGGCGTTTCGCACATGCAGTGGCAGTGTAACTGACAATACCTGGTAAATCTGTACAAAAAAGCAAATACCAATTCGCTGCTCGATCATGCAGCCATTCAACGCAAGCAGTACGTGAACTCTCAACTCTCAAGCTTAGTTTGGCTTTAGCAACAACAAAAAACATTTTTTTTGTTTTTGTTGAAAACTCTGATTATTCTGAACTTTTAGGTCCTAAATATCCAGAAAATCAGAATATTCCTGATTATTCGGAAGGGTTGGCAGATATGTTTCTAATCATAATATTCTAAAGCAGTCCCACTCACTGTTTGTCAAGTTGGGTTTGGTGGTGGCTCTCAAGGGTACCTGAAGATTCCTCCGTGATGCGCTTGCTGACACCTCCATCATCCCCAGGAGCAAACTCCTTACCCATCATCTTCAAGAAGTGCTGATGGTCGATGTAACCCTTGTTGGTTGGGTCATATCTTTATATGTGAAAGGAAAGCATGGAAAAATAGATAATGCCACTTAAAGCCCGTCTGCACTAGTTTGGCCAGGGGAATTATACGTCCCTGCAAGGCTGCTAACAGATGGTTATCTCATCAAATTAGCCCTCAATTAAAATAAGAAACAGGGGATCTTGGGGGCTCCAACAGGTACCGCTTAGGCATTGTTTGCTATATAGAGGGCGCAAGTAGCTATAAATAAGTAGTGCCGTGGGGCGTTAAAGGTATCTGCCGAAGAAAATAAACAGCCAAGTTTCCAACTAAAATTTTTAGCTACCTTTAGCATTCAGTTGAGTATTTTACCCTAAGTTTATGAAAGCTCCTGAGCTGACTTAAGCTAATTGATTCAGAGGCCTTGACTGGCAAACATGTGCATGTCATACACAGTCATTATTATGATAAAATTGTATACAGGCCCTGTAATTATAAGACATCGTTCGTCCGTGTCTCCTTAGATCAAGATCAATGTAAAGTTCCTAAATTAAATACATTTAAGTTGAGTCTCTCCGCATCGCAGAGAGTATCTTTCTTCCAGACCTCCTTTCATCCAAATCCAAATCCATAAAATATACTCACATGGCCCATAGTTTTGTGAATTCATCCTTTGTCATTGGTAACATGAAGGTATAGAGAAGATCTCTAAGTTCTTTCTTGATGATGACGCCCTTGCCGTTCTTATCGATAGATCTGAACGCTTTGGCCAGGTCGTGGTACTGTCTCTGGGCTTTGGAAGCCAGGATCTCATGGACCTGTTCAGCCGCGAGCTGGGCAGGATCGATCGTTGTGTTCCATCTGTTGAGTAGATTGACATACTCATTATAAATGCATTCTTGAATTGGCACCAATTTATCTGCAAGAACTAATCCCAGAATACAAACCCTCACGCAATCTACTATCATCTTCACAATTAAACCTTGTGTCTACCTTGGTGTCAACTCTTTCTTATGGTCATCGCTCTTTTTGCAAAGCTTCTGCTGAACTTTGGAACACTTTACCTTCAATGTCAAAAACTGTCAAACTGTTAAACAATTCAAAACTTGTCTTAAGACACATTTATTCAAGATTGCTTTTGATGATTAACTTACTCTGTATATTTCATATGTATTGTAATTCGTAGGTTTATTTTCACTTTTTTGTTTTGTTTAATATGTAATTGTTTATCTTTGTATTTTGTTTGTTATAGCCCTTAGAGACTTTGATGGTAAGCGCTTTATAAGCACCGTTTTTATTATCATTATTATTATACTCATTATTCAACAAAGACCACAGCCTTTCTCCATTGCTCCAAGACAGTTTCTTCAACAATGAAGTCACCGGTTCAGAACCCAACTTTATCTTCATCTTCCCATGTCTCAATATGTCTTTTATGTATATTTTGTTATCTGTATTAATTCTGCACGTGAAATGTGTAATTAATAAACTCAAACTCAAACTCAAACTCAAACTCAAACTCTCACAACTCACCTGTGATCAGAATCCAGCCACTTGTGTCCCTCGGCCGAGTCACGCACCTCAAAGAGGTCTAAAAACTCCTGGTAGTTGAGTCTAGTCTTCTTGGAGATGCTCAGCGCAGCCATAAGTTTGTTGAACTCTTCTTCCGTGCTGATGAACATGAGCTGGTCGACGAGACGCTGGAAATCCTGCCGGCGGACAACGCCGTCGTGGTCGTCGTCCAGCTTGTAGAACGTTGATCGCAGGTCCTTAATTGGGAAGATAGAAATAAATGGCTTGTTTAAACACATGATAGGGGAAAAGAGGGGATGAAAAGAAAAAAAAGGCTCTCTGCACAACATAAGTCCTACATTTACTCACTATCTGTCAATAGAGAAAAGTGCGTGCAGTACATTGCATCAATGTCAGTATCGTATTCAAATAAAATAGTGAAACTACACTCTGTAGTAAAAAAAAAATGTGAAATAACAGCACAGTTGAAAAAAAAATTGGTGCCATTTTCAACTTTAAATGCATATTTTATCAATCGTTTGTGTCACATACTTAGCTTAAAGGTTAGGGCTGGAGCCAATGACGCATCATCGCATCAACTCACCCTGAAAGCTTAATTGTCTCATCTTATCCCCCAGGTTCACAAGCATCTCCCTAGCAGACAACTTTAAATTTATTTTTCATCTATCTTTTGTTTCACATCCTTCGCTTAAAGGTTAAAGCTGGAGCCAATGACGCATCATCATCGTCAACTCACCCCAAAAGCAGCATCTCCTTAGCGGACAACTTTAAATACATTTTTCATCTATCACGGACACTAATAACACGTAGGGCCGTGCATCTCAGATTTAACATTGTTAAACGATGCCTGTAAGGGTTAAGGCTGGAGCAAATGGTGCATCATCGTCTTCAACTCACCCCGAAAGCTTGTCTCATCTTATCCCCCAGGTTGGCAAGCATCTCCTTAGCGGACATGTTGTGGCCATCGAGCTTCTTCCACCAATGGTTGGGCGTTCGTGTGATCTCCTGCCCCGGTCCGCCGACCCTCATGTCCTCGAAGGACTCAATGAAGTCGCTGTAGGTGAGGGAGCCCTTGTCAAAGCCAAGGTTCTTGCAGAGCAGCGCGAACTGCTCGTCCTCCATGTACATGCCGAAACTCTGAATGACCTGGAAAAGTTTAATGGATAGATATTAAAGCCTGCACTGTACTGCTTGTAGCTACTTGCTCCCTCTATATAGAAAACAACGCCTTAGCGGTGCCCATTGGTCCCTCATGATCCTCTTTTTCTTATGTTAATTGAGAGCTGAGTTGATGAGATAACCACCTGTCAGTGACCATGCTGGGTGGTCTAATCATTCCTGGCCAAACTAGTATAGATGGGCTTTAACAGATTTGCCAATTTATGATTCTCAAATTTTGCTTCTCGACTAGAAAAGTTAACAATTTTCAAACCAATCATCTGGTTCTTCTCAAAGTTGACCAAAAAAAAGATTATTTATGTTTAACTGAAAGCAGACTGTTCCTTCTATATTCTCAAATAATGAAAATAAATCACACACCAAAATTGAAAAATGCTTGTATTCTTACATTTCAATATTTATACTTTCTAATAGTACTTTTATGATTCTTTTCGAACCCCACTACAGTTAAAATTTCCTCAGGGTTTATGAAATCTCCCGATGACTATTCTACTTTCAATCAAAGCAATCTGAGTTGCATAAAAATTACCTACACATACATGTAGGACTTACCTGTCTGAACTCTCGTTAAAATTATCTCAGAGTTTATGAAATCTCTCAATAACTATTTTACTTCCATTCAAAGCAAGCTGTAAACACTGTTGCATACAAATCACCAAAACAGAGGACTAAAACCTGTCTGAACTCTCTTGTGGAGAGCTCGCCCCTCCAATCCTTAAAATTATCTCAGACTTTACAAAATCTCTCTATGACTATTCTACTTTTATTCAAGTAAGCAAGCTGTAATAAGGGTAACATGTGAACTACTGAAACGGGGGACTAACCTGTCTGAACTCTCCTTTGGAAAGCTTGCTCCGTCAGTCCTTAAAATTATCTCAGACTTTACAAAATCTCTCTATGACTATTCTACTTTTATTCAAGTAAGCAAGCTGTAATAAGGGTAACATGTGAACTACTGAAACAGGGGACTAACCTGTCTGAACTCTCTTTTGGAGAGCTAGTTGCCCCTCCAATCCTTGAAATTATCTCAGATTTTACGAGAACTTTCTACGCTTATTCTACTGTTCTTCAAAGCAATCTGGTTGCTTACTAACAAACATTTATGCTTTCTTAGCAGTCAGGTAAAATAACCACCACTACTACTACTAATCTGCAATCAGAGTTGCATAAAATCACCAAAACATAGGACTAGCCTGTCTGAACTCTCGTTTGGAGAGCATGCCCCTCCAATCCTTAAAATCATCTCATGGTTTATGAAATTTCTCTATGGCTATCCTACTTTCATTCAAATAAGCAAGCTGTAATTAGGGTAACATATCGAGGGTGTTAAGTGACACAAAGAAGTAACTCCATATTTTGCCAAAATGAGTATTTGATATCAAAATATTCAAAAAAAAGGTGGGCTTTCCAGGAAACACAAAGACTTAACTCCATCCAACACCCCATTTAAGTCAATGGCTAGTGAAACATAGACTTAACTCCTTAAGGCCCAAATACTCAGTGACACATAAACCACTATTTCTCAAAATGGCCAAATTGGAGTTGCGTCCTTATGTCACTGACCCCTCGATATAAACTACTGAAACGGGGGACTAACCTGTCTGAACTCTCGTTTGGAGAGCTTGCCACGCCTATCCTTGCAGTACCTCAGAAAGTTATCCCTGAGGTTGCTTGACTTCTGTGACATGCGATCCTTCAGCTTAATGATGACCTCATCTGCGTTCATCAATGTGGTTCGGTTGAGGGCGTTCACTTGAATATTATGTAGCCTAAAATCAATGTATAAAAAGATAAATTAAAATTTCACTGCATGACCTACGATGAAAATTGTTCTTGGTAAACTTACTTGGTATACTTGGTTGATTAGCCCTCTTGTCCTATGGGAAGGGCTCTCAGTTTTCTCTTATCAGTAGCCACAATGGGTGCAGACACTATGTTATGAGGTATTTTGTTCCAGGGTTGGATCACTCATGTTCAGGGATATACAAAGTTTAATCTTAGGTTTTTTCAATTCAAATTTGTATTTTTGCAAATGGTAGTGTTTTATTCATCCCATTAATTGTTACTAAATTAAGGGCTTCAATTTTTCACTCATAGACAAAAATAAACAAGCCCTGTGCTTTTATGGTTATGTTTTACAATTCAAAATTGTTTTTTTTGCAACTGGCAGTGTTTTATTCATCCCATTAATTGTGTCCCAAATAAGGGCTTCAATTTTTTCTTCATAGAGAGAAATCGACAAGCCCTGTGCTTTTAGGGAATTTTGCCTCCTTCCTATCTTACATTGTCAATATATATTTGATGATATGTTCATTTTGATTCTGTGAAAGAAGTAAATGTTTATTGAATTGAATCACTCCTCCCTATGTTTTCTAATTTCTCTTTACCTGTATGTTTAGTGCTTAATGTTTGTTTTATATCTGTATATATTCTATATATATTTCTTCATGTATTGGGTGCCCCATTAATCAAGCCTTGGCTTTTAGGGGCACCCTGAACATTTACACTGTATCAATAATTTTCATACATGCATGATTTGTATACTGATTTTTATTTTAAATGGTTTAATAGAACGAATTGAATTGAATATAGCTGATCTAATGCAAAGATTTTAGTTGCTCACATCTATCAATACCTTTTGCTATTAAAGGGACTCGGTAACATTGCCTCAGATTCTGAAACAAAATCCTGGATTTAGCTCATGCTGCAATGATAACTATAAACCTTTAGGTCAGTCAGGAATCCCACGAATTTTACATTGCCTGTCTCTGATTATCAAGATATTTGTGATTAGAAATCGGAATAAAATTCTGCCTTTTCCTAACGGTTTTCATAACACTACAGTCTATTGAGGAAACGAGTATGGTAAAACCGGTCACTCAAAGATTTTTACTTTTTTGGGGCACTTCATTATCAATTTGAAGGGCAATTTTTCACAGACACTGATAACACATAGGGCCATGCATCTCAGATTTAACATTGTTAAACGATGCCTTAAGCTCGTATCATGCCACAGGGTAATCCCCATTGTGCCAAATTTATTTTGAGATAATCTGATTAACACAATGTTTCTATGATTAGCGCATGCGAAACACACAGCACAGGTCAGCAATGGCTCGCTCGCATGTACAAAGCACTATAATGGTAGGGTGCATGCATCCAGCCTTATGGCAGGCTATGAATTAATAACAAAACAGAAATAATCTTCTTCAAATACCTGGTATCCATATCCACCAGTCTCTGTTGCTCATTGAGATCACTGAGTACCTGGATGTGCGTACTGGTACCCACCAGGTCACCAGGGGACACGTCTACCTTCAGCATGTGAAGGAAGTCACCAAACATGACCTTCCCGTCAGTCTCCTCGCATCGGAGCCACATGCTGAGGAAATGAGAGAGGTAACAAAAAATGACAGTGGTAATTAGTGATAAGATCTCAGATATTCAACCTTAATTTCATATAACCAGTCAAACCTGTCTTAGTGGCATGCACCTCTCTATGAAGACAACATGTCTGAAGTAGGATGCATTTTGTCTCCTTTTAAGATAGAAATGTGTACTATAAAAGTTTGTTTTTTTAAGAAAAAATAAATGTGCTGTACAAACTAGAAAGGCCACCTATTTACAGTGGCCACTTCGTATCTTTCTCTTGGGCGGCTTTATTAGACAGGTTTGACTGTATTTCCATTATGAGATCTCAAAACTCATTCAACCTTTATTTCATATAACCAGTCAAACATGTCTCAGCGGCCAGCTCTCTACAAAGACCAACTATCTATAGTGTAATGCATTTTTTCTTGTCAGAGCTTTGTAAAGTTTATTGTCACTTCCATTTTATAATAATGCTATAAATTCTGTATGTTTTTTTTACGAGTCTGTTTTCTAACATGTAGTTTACTCACTCTTCCAGATGGTCTTCCGCGACCGGTAGGACGCACTTGCTGAGGATCTTACGAAGCTGCGGCATGGAGATGGCACCGGTGCCAGCAGGGTCGGCCTGCTTATAGAGGGCACTAATTGACTTCCAGTGCTCCTCGATCTTCTCACATAGGATCTCTTCAATGGTCTCCCAGGCCAGGTTTGCAGGTGCGACATTGTTCCATCGGTGCTCAGAATCCAACCATTTGTGACCCTCCTAAAAAACAGAGGAAATGATTAGCATTGCCAAATAACTAAATCAGTTGTAACAATATTCTGTTCTCAAGACTTGATAAAAGTGCTGCAAAATTGGCGGCACATTTTTGTGTGTTAATGAATGGCAACAAAGGGCTTGCGGAAGTTCACTAAGCTCTGTGTTATAAGAAATGTGAGGCGCCTTACACTTTAATACCGCAGTTTTGCCACGTAATATCTGAAAAGGCCTTTAAACAGCACATACATGGCATCTTACTTTCTAAGGATTAAAGACATCATATAAGCCTGGCTTAAAGTCCTAAAACCCTAGCGCTCAATTCATTCAAGGAATAAATCCTGCCAGATACAAGATTACAAAGTTTTCTGTAGCAACAATTACTCTGGAGTCAACGTCCCACACTAGCCAAACTTGTAACTTCAATCCTGGAACTAGAACTAATAATATGCTATCCATGATAAGTTTTGACTTGAGCCAAAAATGAAAAATTGATTAGATTTACACAAAAAAAGATACTTTGTACATGGTATAGGGGAGATTTGTCTGCAACTATCACAAAATCTACTAACCGAATTGCCAACTTTAGATCCACATTTAGTGACATCAAATTTCAAACATTCATAACATTCTTTTTATTTGTCCGATTTTGTTCAAACCTTCACCATTCTATTTCTCCCATTGTTCAAGTTCAAGTTCAAGTTCGTTTATTTACACTCATCATTAAAAATACAGAATATATACAATTAAATATGGAATAATCACACATAAAATATCATACATTCAATAACAACAAAATAACATAACATAATGGGAGTGAAGGGGTGAGCTCAAAAGGAGTATGGTCCTTATGCTAGAGCCCATTCCTTTCATACAAAAGAACTAATACAAAAGTTTGACTTATCCTTTGGAGGAAGAGCTGGTTAACTTACACCACTAAGGGTTAAAAGGGATAGAGATCTATCAAAATAAGTCCTATCATATTAGTCCTAATATATTTTATCACCTGACGAAGTGTTGCAGCGGCGCACAAAACCTTGTGATCTTTTAGATCCCTTGTTGACCATACATTGCGAGACAAACAAATTTCACTATTAGATATTAATTCCGATACTATATCAGCAATGAGTAATAAATTTAGCATTAAACATAAAGTTGAGTTCTGGTCATGCGATTGCATTGTGAAAGAAACGGTGTGGAACCTATCAGAAAAGGTTGATCATCTAGTATATACATAATTATGTAAGTATTTATGTGTATTGCAATGTTCTGGAATCATCAAAATGATAAGAAATTTGGCCCAGTCTTGGTATTAGTTACAAGCACTGTACACAGAAAGATGTATATGGAGTACGCGACATGTGCACGATATCTATTAGGTCCAAATAGATATAATAATCTACCAAATATATCAAATAGTAGGCAGTTTCTCAGCAAAATTTGTATTATCACATATTAGTAAAAACATATTCTTTCACATGATTGGTAACAAGAGCTTCCATTTCATTTTTTGAGAGGGGGGCGTTTAACTGGTCTTTACATTTAAGTCCTAACATATTTCTTACCTCTGTTTCTCTGACTTCAAAAAGTTCCAAGAAGTCATGGTAGTCGATGGCGTTGTTCTTCTCCGGGTCGATCCTCTCTACGATCACCTTGAACTGTGCGTCGCTCAGTCGTATAGTGAACTTGTCCATGATCTTACGTAGCTCCTTCCTTGTGACCTTGCCGTCACGGTTCTACACAGGACAGAGAATCACAGACAGATACAAACTCATTCAAAGGAAAGAAGTCCTGTAAAAATGAATATTGCTCCCACTAGGCTTCTTTTCATTCTTACATGTAGCTTTGAGTCCCACTTTAATAGGGACATTCAATATCATTCAGTGTGAAGGAAAGATTCAATTCCATTCAATTTTGATTTATTGGAAAAACATCAATGTGGCAGAGAATCACAGACAGATACAAACTCATTTGAGGAAAAGAAAAATCCTCAAATAAAGGAAATTGCTCCCACTTGGCTTCTTTTCATTCATAGCTTTTGGTCCCACAGGGGATTTCAATATCATTCAGTGTGAAGGAAAGATTTTTCTAGGTGCCATAAACTAGAAGTCAGGCTTGATTTTTATTTTCAGGAAAGCAAAGAGCAACAAGTTTAATATCTCTGTTATTTCAATGCAATTCCAGATTGAGTAACTTGTCCCAATTTTTTTTCTTCTTCCTTCACATAACTACCGTAAAAATAGTACTTAAAGAGTTTATTGCAGAAGAAAACTTCAAAAATAAAAACAAGAAGAAGGAACAGAAAGAGAAGAAGGAGAAGAAGAAGGAGGCAGAGAAGATAAAGGGAAAAAGGAGAAGGAAAAAAAAAGGCAGAGAAGGAGAAGGAGTTGAAGAAAGTGGAGAAGATGAAAGAGAAGAAGAGAAGAAGAAAAATAAGAACAAATAGAAGAAGAGGTAGAAGAAGAGGAAAGAGAAGGCGGAGGAGAAGAATAATAAGAAAAAGAAGGAGATAAAGAAAGTGGAGAAGATGAAGGAGGAAAATCAGAACAAGGAGAAGGAGAAATGAAGAAGGAGAAGAAGATGAAGAAGGATAAGAAGAAGAATAATAAGAAAAAGAAGGAGATGAAGAAGACACAGGAGGAGAAAGAGGGGAAGAAAAGAAGAAGAAAAAACAAGTATTACAAGTAATATCCTTTTCATGCAGATTACAAATAGCCTAATATAAGTATGAGAATTCTATTCCAACCTGAAGAAGTTGGACTCACCTGATCAAAAGCAAGGAAAGCTTCCTTAATGGATGTGTACATGTTAGTAACATGCTTCTGAAGTAAAGACAAGATTTCATCTGCTTCCATCTCGCCATCTCCTTCACGGATTGGATTGACCCTGTCCATATGAAAAAAAAAGCATTCACATAACGGTATTTGTTTAAAACGACACTCCATTATATACATTCTTAATATGTTACAGGTGAAAGAAAAAATTATGTGACAGTGCATGTACCTAGGATGATATTTGGAAGTACTTTATGTGATTTAGAATAATGCTTTCATGATTAGATAGCTTTATATCGAAATGTAGAGGCAAGACGGGTCGCGCCTGGAAAGCAAAAATGCCTAATTTTTGCAAGTCATGATTTCATCAAATAGAAATAGAACCACATCCTTACGATGTGGAACTGGCACAATCTCTATTAGGCTTGATGTTAGCTAAATTTTCATTCAGATATATTCATTCTTTATAAAGAAATTTTAATTCATAAATAAATGTACGTGTATGCAATGTGTCTCTTTGTGCCACTTCATTTCGCCTAAACAACCTTAATTAATTTACGTTTAAAAATGGAGGGAACGAGCCATGCATCATGATTACAGGAAATGTGTATATAGATGAAATTACGGTAAAAAAAGCAGGACAAAAGTACAATAAAAAGGTTTCAGGTCTGTTTAAAGGCATCGTTTAACAATGTTAAATCTGAGATGCATGGCCCTACGTGTTATCAGTGTCTGTCTGTGATGGTGTAATATTGAAGCCCTAAAAAAAATTGCATTTCACAATGATCAAGAAGTCCCTCAAAAAAGTAAAAATCTTTGAGTGACCGGCTTTACCATACTCATTTTCCCCAATAGACTGTAGTGTTATGAAAACTGTTATGCAAGCGCAAATTTTTTTTTTGATTACCAATCATAAATATCTTGATAATCAGACAGGCAATTGGCTTGTAAAAGTCATGGGGTTCCTGACTGACCTAAAGGTTTATAATTATCATTGCAGCATGAGCTAAATCCAGGATTTTGTTTCAGACAAAGTTACCGGATCCCTTTAACTTACCTGTGGTTCCATTTGATCGGGATGGTCTGTCCGTTTCCTTCTATCCTTGGATCCAGGAACTTCTCCAAGAAGTGCTCCCAAGGAATCTTGTGGGAAGCCTTGAAACCAATCCTGAAAATAAAAACAAGTACCGTAACACATAAGTGGACCCCTCTGTTTCCAATATGTATTCTTAAATTGTTAAAAATGTTTAAAATTGATTTGTAATGTTTTGTTGGAAGCATAAATAAAGTGTTCAATTTGAGTTGTGTCTGAACACTTCCACATCATGGCACATGTAAATCTTTTCTGAGATTTCATATTGACTGTAATTATATGAATATCAATTTTCTGTGAATTATGTTGCCCTAGCTTAAGTCTTACACTGCAGCCCCAATGAGGGAATATCTACTACCTACAGGTAAACATTAAATCACATAAGTAGGTTGAAGGTATCAAATGAAGATGAAAATAATTGGCAAGGGAACCTTAGTGCTTTGGTAGGGATTTGAATCCTGAACTAATGATTTACAGTCTGATGACTTATCCACTAGGCCACAACACCCTTTTAAAGTTAAGCTCAGTCTGAATGACATAGAACATCTCACTGCAACAATCAACACATCTGTACTTATATTTTGATTGAATAATAAGATAAGTTATTCATACATGTAGGTGTTCAGTGTTAAAGTTGAGATACAAAAGATGTGGATGTGAGGTCCAGCACAGCAGTTATCTTTTTGAAAAGATACTAATATGTTAGCATCTCTCAAACAAGATGCAGTAAAAGAGTATGTGGCAAGATTTGTATCTTAAAGACCGTGTCCAGATATTGGGTGACAGAGCTAATGCTGTGGTACTAATTTCCAACACATTTTAAAAGGGCATAGAGACACATCTTATAATATGATGTGCTATACAAAAAGTAAAAACATAATATTTTATAATGATAATATAAATTCAATAACTGCAGACACTACGCAAACATATTCTACTGTGCTGCAAGAGCTTCTGATATGCTTAAAACTACATATATGAGAGACATTTAAATGAAAAAAATGTGCTTTTAGCTTTGATTTAGACACTTTACTTAGTTGAGCCACATGCTAAGTAAAATTTTCACTTAAACAAAGTATCAATTAAATACCGGCCCAGGGGGGATGTTTCACAAAGATCCTAAGTCAAACTTAACACTAAGTTGGACTTAAATATTATGGAGAGCCATTTGTAGCCTTAGAATAAAATATATTCAAAAGCAAAAATTAAAGTATATTAAACTTTTCATAAATTCCACATTAAGAACATGAAATCTCTTTGATAATAGAAAATTTGAATGATTTTGAATCAACATTTTATGTCTTTTAAAATAACTTGTAAAAAATATTTTCAAAGATGCTAACGGCTTTCCATAATTGTTTAGTCAAACTTAGAGTTAAGTTTGACCTAGGAACACCCCCTGGAGTCAGACTTGGCTGCTATTCTTACCTTTCCATAAGTTGGGCAAAAAGCTGATCTGACATTGGTAGGGTGAAGTGAATCAGAACGCTCTTGAGGTCGTCCAGAGCAATGAAGCCGTCTTGACGTTTATCAAAGGCCATGAATGCTTTCTTGATGTTCACGTAATTATCCTTCATCTGCAAGAAGATGGCAAACATACATATTTAACATAAATTTGAATATGATAAATATTACTTTTTCAAAATATTTTGATCTTTACCTATTGAATGTTACGTATTCCCCAATGCTCACAAAGTCACTTTTTTTCATAAAATTTTACTCATTTCAAATTAAATTTGAGTTAATACATGAATGGACATGGACAAGGAGAAACAAAGTAAAAATGTACAGAGCGATAGAGAGAGAGAAGGGAGGAGGGAGAAGGGGGAGCCATGACTTCTTTAAAAAATCTCTAACGCACTGTTGCATTTGAAAAAGTCACTTTATGGCTAAGATTTCATCAATATTTATCATCCCAATGCACATGACCAAAAACATCAATCCAAAAACTTAAGGGCCACAAGATTCCCAGGAAGACCCCTTACATAAATAAATCAATAAAGAGAGCGAGAGAGAGAGAGAGAGAGAGAGAAATACACTGTATCATTAGGCATGCTTCATGCAGTAATTTTCCTGATATTGTCAGTAATGTACCTTTGCACAACTTGAGAGGGATAAACAAAGCAACAAGGTACATTAAATTTACCATTTACCACTATTAAGTGGTCGTCATCCGAGTTTGGAAGGGAAAAAGAAAACTAAATTAAAATTACCTCCGAGTCTCTCCTCCTATTATGTTTACTAATTTGTAAATAATATAGTACTGTAAACAGCATAAGAGAAGAAAACAAGATAAGAAATTGAAAGAAATATATGATTATTACTTTGAACAAGAGAGACGGATAGAAAAGAAAGGTAGGGAGAATCTTTAAGAAGGATAGACAATAATTACCCTTGTTCTGAATTCTGCCTCAATCTGTTTGTAGCTCATTCCTCTCACTGCATCATCTGTTCGGTTAATGATTGCTATTTGTTCAACCTGCTTGGCTCGCTCATTTTGACGTTGGCTCATGGTTTGTGCTGTAATGCAGAAATATAATTTTAAAAAATAGATTTATGGAATACAAATAAATTATGATATGATGAGCTATGTGTTAATTCTTCATCAAGTAATATTATTTCAAATAGATTTTTATTTTTGTCAGTCAAAAGCAATACCGGGTTACTGATTTTTGTTAATAACTGAATATTCCTGTATGAGCCACTGATAAATACAAGTAAACTCATAATTATTTTCTTGTAGATCAATATCTTTTTCATTTATAGACAGTTGCAAGACTTTAGTTGCAAGACTTTGCTTTTCTTAAATTTGAAGTTTCAAAGATTAGATAATAATGTTTGAATGAGAGTGAAAAATCATTCTCTTTCAGCATAGGTTTACAAATCTTTAAATCAATCAATGTACACGCAATAGGAGACTGAGAGTGGTAGTGCGGATTAATGTCTTGCCAAATGACTTTAGCTTGGATTTGACCCTTAACCCTTGGATTGAGACGCAAGTGAATGAACCACTAAACCATGACATCTAAACCTTTACAAATGAATCTTGTCAATGTACACACGATAAATTTTATGCTACATTTCTATTTCTGAAGCTGATTCTTACCAAACTTTCCATGTTCAGGGAATGCCTTGGCATGCTTTTCGACTAGGACACCTAGTCTCTGTAGGAAATCGTAGTAGTTCACAATGCCAGTGTGATGGAAATCGTATCTTGACCACAGTCTAAACAATAGGGATAACAGATGATAAAAATACATTGAGGTTATAAACAGTTAAGACATTGTGTTTAGATTGTAGGAACTTGTTGTAGTTCACAATGCCAGTATGATGAAAATCATATCTTGACCACAGTCTAAACACTGGGGATAGAAGGGGATAAAAATACATTGAGGTTATAAACAGTTCGGATCCTGTGTTCAGACTATAGGAATTACTCATAAGAGTACAAAATGACAGTGTGATGGAAATCATATCTTGACCACAGTCTAAACAACAGGGATGAAAAGGGACAAAAATACATTGAGGTTATAAACAGTTCAGCACTCCTGATGACGGATAGTCAACCTGTTCGAAACGTCGAGACGCTCCTACAACCCATATATCCTCTCCAACCGGCACTATAGTTATCCTTAGAACTATATGCTAAGAGAGATTACCAACAGCCTTTTTCAAGACTACCAACAGTTCTTTTCAGGATGACACACACTCAAGAAAGAAAGATTACTGACAGTCCTTTTCATGACTCCCAAATCCTCCCCCTCTCTCACATGGTGCACCTGCAAGATTGTGTTTAGACTGTAGGAACTTGTAGTAGTTCACAATATGCCAGTGTGGTACATAAGCAGAGCTGCCAACATTTGATTTGGGTAATCAGGGAGATTTCTGAGAGAGCAGCATCGAACGACTTCATTGTTGGCGGGAACCAAGAATGGCCTTTTAGTGCCCCTGGTGGGGGGGGGGGCAGGGGGCAGGCCCCCAAAAGCTCTTGGTTTTAAGCCTCTTTGAAACCCTTTTAGAACACATTTTTTCAATGATTTCTCAAAATGGAAGGCTTTGATATGGCACATTTTATTTGCATACAATTGATAACATATGAACTTCACATCATATTTCAGACTATGAACTCCTGTTACCTCTATTGTGAAATGGGGGATGTACTTGTGGAAGGCAAGGACTGGGGTGTGCTTGAGGGTTTTCCTTGAAGTGACTGGTAGGTTGCTTGCTTGAGTTTGCTAAGGAGGTCCTTGCTATACTCCCTTTGGTAGCATGGGACATCTGTGTTGGCAATTTTCTCTGTTAGGAGTGCTTGAAGTGTTTTCAAATTCATTGATCCCCTGAAATCAGTTTTGTTCTTCCTAACAATGCTAAAAACTCTTTCACATGAAGCATTGGAATGTGGTATCACAAGCAAAGATTTCATCACTTTGCTCAGAAGTGTGTATTTCTTTGAGCCATTGCCATCCTCCATCTTTGAAATTGCAGACCATTTCTTGTCTATTCTCAAGTTTTTGTTCAGGATCTCTGGTTCCCCTGAAAAGTCTTCAACCTGGTATTGTGCAAATTCCAGCTCAAGCTTGTCCAGGTCTCCATTCTCTGATTGTCTGTTCAAAATGCAAGGGTACTTTTCAACAAAGTATTGCACAGATGAAAATGACACATCTCTTCTGGAACTGACATCAATCACTTCAGCCTCCTTAAGGAACTTAACATCTAGTGGCCAGGTTTTCAAGGCATAGTCACATGCTGATTCATAATACTTCCTCACCGACAAGTAGAAGTATGTCAAATCAGCATCTGTAAGACGAAGGGGAGAATCATCTTCTGGGCTTGTTGTACTCTCCAGGTATTCCTTGGCATCTTTTCCAATCATTAGATCTTTATCTGACTTCTGGCAATCTCTCTTACCATACTGCACTTTCTTGACATCAGAACATTCAACAATCACTGTTGGCTGCACGAATCTAACAAGCATATCTTGGAAGGTTTTATTAAGCTGCTTATTAAGAATGTGAATGCAGGGTTCTTCTCTCTGTAGGAGTAGGTTGATGTCATCAAAGATCTTGTTACTGTATTTTCAGAATTTATTCTTTTTTATCATTCTGTGGTCAAATCTTTTAAATAACCTTGCATATGCCAGATAATTAACAAAACATCATTGTTACCGAGAGAGGGCGCTAAATACGATTTAACGGTCAAATTCGAATTTTCAAAACTAAGGATCGAAGCAATTCATAAAAATGATGCTATTGTCTTGCAATGTGTGTAACCTAACAAACTATTAAAGTTCATGATACTGGCATAAAACAGTCAACGTGCAGATTAGTATTTCAAATAAAAACATAAAATCGTGAGAAAATCCACCCTTCAAGTCCCGCACACGTGTTTATGAGTAAGTCTAAGTTTTAGGGAGATTAATGAGGTCCCCAACTACTGACGAAATGAACTCAGGTCTATGGTATAGAGGGGTAGACTATTTCTCGATTTTACAAATCTAAGAACTGTTCATACTAACCTGAAAAAGCTCTGTATTCCTTTTGTATTGCCCCTTGCTTTCGCGGTTTGCTTGTGTTTGTCAGATGTGATGTGGCGAAATACATCATTTCTTCCCCCACTCTTGATGGAGATATCTGCGCCGCAAACTGTACAAAATGCGTAGTATTCGCCTTTCGTAGATTTCCCAACACAAGGCCATTCCAAGTGGTAGTCATCTTTATATTCTGATAATATTTCGACTTCGACATTGTCCTGGATGATATTTTAATACTCAAACAGAGAGCAAAATACAGCCTTGTTTTGGACAAAGTTGACTTACGCCTTCGGAAGATGCAAGTTATATCGATGCGTTCCCAACGGCAAAGGAGATCAGAAAAAAAAAGTCGGCTTCAAAATCCACTCTGCAGTAACACTGCCATGTTGGTATCAAATGATAATCCACTTAAAAATCACATCGCAAAAGTCCCCAAATCAATCCAAAAACTGATGTTGAAATGTGCAGTTTTTTGGGCCGATCGCAGCAGACAAAGTCTGCTTGTTGTATCAGTGCAACTTCTGGCTGCTCTGACGCGACCGATCGGAAACCGGCACCAACGTACCGGGACGCTACGGGGGCCGGCGAGGAAGCCGCCCGGCAGAGCAAGCAGGCGAATTGCTATCACACAAACACCACTCACATTATCACATGTTCCCAATGGTTTGTTAGATTAGCCCGCCAGTCGTTCGGCGTAACTCTCATTTATTACGCTGTTAAATAAAGTACGATATCACGGTAAATTTATATTCGACGACTGGATAACAGGAAAATTCATATTACAGAATTGCCGTGTGTTTGTATACGTACGTACGAACTCAACATGCTAGTCTTGTGAAACAGTCGTTTATGAAAATAATACAACTTAAAATCTGGAAATCCGGGAGATTTTTGCATGGGGTCGGGAAAACGGGATATTGGGTCAAAATCCGGGAGTCTCCCGCAGGATCCGGGAGACTTGGCAGCTCTGCATAAGGAGTAGTCCACAGACAGACTATCACAATGGTAGACCTACCTATCATATTGTTCATCGGTCATTCTGAAGCAGTAGTTTTCTATCACTTTACGCATCTCGTGTTTCTGGATCTTGCCATCGCGGTTGTAGTCAAAGAGGCGTAGAGCTTTCATGAAGTTCTTGGTGTTGACAGCGATCTTGTCCCTGAGCTGGCGTTCGATGACGTCAACACCCATGTCGGAAGGTGATTTGGTGTAGCTGTACCTATGGAAAGAATACAAAATACAGATGTGACTATTGCAGGCCATTACATATCAGCCAAATGATATTTATGTTTTTTGTAGTGGAAGTCTTAGCTTTGATTGATTTATGATGACATATAGCCTTCATGTATAGAGAATAGAGGTGTTATAATAATAATAGTTTGTTCTTTAATAGCGAATTTCAGGACCGCAGGCCCTCTCAAAGCACTAAACAGATATATTATTACCCCGGTCATCGGATTCAGGCTTATCCGCACACAATGTATGCACATTCTCCACTCCCCGGGGAACATTATGGTATATGGAGTGTTATGGTATAGAGGATGTTTCAGCAGATTGTGCTACACATGGTATGGAGTTTTAATCCTTTGAAAAGACATAAATCTACAATTGCCACTCCCCATCCAGGTAGTGTAAATGAGAGCCTGGTAGTAATAAAATGTAATTTGATATTATATTGTGCCTTCTCATGCTTATTTCCTTTCTAACGCGCATTTCTGTTTCCTTATCTTCTTCTCAACCCCACATGCAGTTCATCATTTTGTATTATTTCCTGTACCCTCAATCTCTCACTTCTTTTTGTCAATGTCTACTCTTTGTATTATGACCGTATTCTTCTATCTTTGTCGTGTAAAGTATTGCCTTAATTGTCCCTTTCTCGTCTCGTGTTGGCATCCCCCTTTTTCTTTCCCCTATTTTGTAGTTCCTTTTGTAGTCAGATTAGTTAATCTAATTACTCATTATTCCTAAGTATCATTTGAGGTGTTCACACTTGTACAAGCATTGCTTTTTAGTGGACCCCTCTGTTTCCAACACGTATTTCTTACACTTGTTTTAAATGCTTATAATTGATTTGTAATGTTTTGTTGGAAACATGAATTAATTTGAAATTGAAATTGAATGAATTCCTTGAATGCTCTAGCGCCTTATCATAGCGGTTCAGATACAGCCAGAAAAGTAATGATACTTCATATCAGTATATTATATCAGTATACAATGTTGTAGCAGTGAAAGAACAGTTGTATGTTTAAGGAATGTAAACAAAAACTTACTTGTATCCTGACCCCATTTTCCATGATTCTCTGGAGACTGACCCGGTGTTTACGAAGCGGTCAAGGAACATGCAATAGTTGACCGTTCCATTGGTGTTGGTGGGTACTTTGGCCATAACGGAGTTGAACTGTTCGGTGGTCATTGGAAGACAGAAGGTGTCCAGGACACGACGCAACTCACCCTTTGTGACGGTCAAGCTCTGGTCAATATCGTAGTTTTGACATGCCTAGGTAAAATGAGAAAGAAAAAAGGCCCTTGATCTGAATGTATAATGGTATGCAATATCCTATTAAAAATATACTAAATAGTGGATTTGTAACATTTTAAAATTGAGATACTAGACATTTCAAAATTAACAAATGCACAGTTGATTAAAATAGAGTACAGAGAAGAAAAAATTAGCAAGACAAGTAAAGAGGCATGTCAAAGGTAATTTGTTTATACTACTAATACAATAACTGCTCCAACTTCCACTACTATAGTAGTTTTTCTACTACATGTACTACTACTACTACTACTACTAAATGAATTTTTTTCCAATGCATTACAAATTTTTTAATGAAACTGAAAGCTTTTATCAGACAAACATCAAGGCAATTTTTTTGTTTCAATGTCTAATCTTCATTATTCAATAATACCCTATACCTGTACCTTGTGGGACATCTCGAAAGAAAATGAGATACTGTAAAAGTAGAAATATTCGCGGATATTGCGAATTTAACTCGCGAAAATATAAGCATGACTTCTCATGCGTGTTTTGAACGGGCTTAACTGCGTGCAACAAGAATTTAAGAACCAGCAAATATGTTTTGGGGTCGCTCAGAACAAAAATATTATCATGCGAAATTAACAGTATTTACAACTTACTTTAAAACAAATTGTAGGATTAGGTTTTCTTTATCCTGGCTACAAAAAATAAGACATGCCCAACATAGCAACAACCATTATAGGCATGTTGGTTCAAAAAGATAATGTGTCATTGGGATTTCTGTAAAGATAGCTATCCATAGATGTGCATAAATTTGGCAATAAACTGGATAATTGTAAATTTAACCATTTTAATTCTGACCTGCTTGAGATCTGTATAGAATTGTCTGATCCTCTCCCTCAAGATCTGTTCCACTTCGATAGCGCTGAGTTTGGCATCTAGGGAGGCACTGGGCAGTGGTGGGCTAATATTCGGGCTTGATGAACCAGCTGGATATGTAAAACAAAAACATGTATGTAGTCCAAAATGCAACGTTTGAGCTTTGCGATACAAAGAGTTTGTGCCGAAAAACATCATTAACTAGTTAGAAGTAGTCAGGTACTATCCAGTTTGATTGTACAGTGTGCATATACCAGAAATTATCTCATAAACATGATCATTTAAGAGCAGCCTAGAAATTTTATGAATATGGCATATATCTGAACTTATGGTTTGATTTATAAGCGAGTTTCTGATTGTACATGCAGTTAAAGGTAAAGACCAGTAATGGTCATGCGATTGCATTGTGAAAGAAACGTTGTGGAATCGATCAGAAAAGGTTGATCATCTAGCATCTAGCATCTGCAAGGTTCTGGAATCATCAAAATGATAAGAAATTTGGCCCATTCTTCGTAAAGTTACAAGCACTATACACAGAAAGATGTATATGGGACTACCCTATCTCTCTCACACGACCATGAGAGAAATAAATTTACCAAATATATGAATTAGTAGGCGGTTTCCCGGCAAATTTTTTATCATCATGTATTAGTCAAAACATATTCTTTCACATGATTGGTAATGAGAGCTTCCATTTCATTTTTTGAAATTGGGGCGTTACCAATACTGGTCTTTACCTTTAATATTATTATCTTTAATTTAACTGTGTCATTTTTGTTATAAAGCATTGGATTATTCCAATTTATAATTTGGAAGTACATTGTATCCATTTATTACAGCTGATTATAATCAGAGATTTTCATTATCTACATCATGAGAAATTTAACATAATGGTAAAAATAAAACTTGAAAATTAAAAACACCATATTAGTCCTGGAAAAGACCATGAAGTGAAAAGTTCATTTACCTCTTCCAGAAGGGGTCATGCCAAGGTCAAAGGACTTGCGTGACATCTTACCCCCGGACCTGGAGTTCCTCGCTGTCTTGAGAATCTGTCTCGGTGTGAACATGATGCCTGTACTTGGACGTAGCGTCAGGTCCGTCGGTTGTGCCACCTGACTCGCCATCTTGTTGTTTGAATGTTTGTCTTTTTTCTGCTTGTTGTGTACTTAATCTTCAGGTATAGATTGATGAGTGCGTTTTGAAAGCTGGGCCTGGCTAGGATGGTGCTTGGTTTGAGTTAGTTATTCCATCTGGAAATAAAAAAAGAATCATGAACTTTGTGAGTCAAAGTCAAGTGTTAAAAGTCATAGCATGCACTGTATGTTTTATCTAAAGGTCTGTATGTACAATGTATTTCCTACATGTGTATTCATTGTATAAATTATACAAAAACAAATTAGATCTATAAACAAACACAAACAAACTAAATCCCAAAGTCAACATCAGGTCAGCTGCCCGTTCTCATATATTTTTTCAAGAGTTGTGTTGGTGATGTAGACCTAGACTGTAGACATATAAATCTCTCTGGGCTCATTCGACATTACACTGTTTTTTACATCACATCATTACAATCATGTTACTTGTTAGTCAACTATCTAGAAGGACCAAGTCACTGAGACTGAGTGAGTGACACAAGTCAGACTAAGTCAGAGTGAGACGAGTCTTGACTCTTGACACAACTTAGAATCTAACTTAGATAGCTATTTCTGTTCAGTTGTTGGACGATTTATATTTTTGGGGAAAATTCATTTTCAATGTTTAAAAGCACATGAGAATTAATCATTGCGAATACCGAAACAATTTGATTGAGAAAACACAATACTTTCACAAACAAAGTTATTCGGAAAGGGTTAACAATCAATGAGGAATAGTTGTCGAACTTGCACAAGTTGCAGCCTATGCGTCCATGATTATGAACAGGTGGGACTACAATAATGACCCTAACCAATGTAAAGGCTAAGTAAAGCAGTACAAAGTTAACAAACACACACATTTACACGTAATGAAACATTATCATACACTTCTAAAGGAAAATATTTTCAAAACATACCTCAGCATCAGTGAATTAATAGTATGCTTTATCTCGTTATTAATTCCATAATCAGCGAGGTTTAGGTGTAAAATATAGCGATATCAAGATCCGTTTGTATGTAACTTTTCCACTTCAGCGAGTTGCTATTCCAGCTCCACGATCACTCATTGTGTATCGTTGCTAGGAAGTTAATTGTGTGTGTGATATGCATGCATAGCATAAGGCGTGGAGATCGAGACACATCGCGGTCGATACTGCGTTGCCAGCGACGTAGTCTTAAACAAAGACGCGAATACGACATCTGAAGTAAACAAACGATACTCGTAGTCTAGTACTGTAGCAGTAATAGGGACAAAAATACATATAGATCTACAATATTATAAATATATACAAACACAAAGGAAGGGACTTGATTGCCATTCAGTAATGCCAGGCATGACACGGCTGGTCTTCCGTGCAGGCATATACAGATATAACAAAAACAAATAAATCACATGAATCTGTTTTTTTTAAATAAAAAAAAAAAATCAAATATGGAATTACATAATAATTATGATTAGTAAATTGGAAAAAAATACATAGCGTACACATAAACGACCCCTCCCCCCCCCCCCTCCCCCTGATAAGTAGCAAATGAGATCTCGACATTTGGTCAGTATTTGACCGAGGCATTTGAGTGGAACGACGTTAAATTATGTAAAGACTTTATTTATTGATTTAATTCTTTATAAATTTAATTTCCAGGCAGAGATAAACAAACATCGGATATACATAAACATATAGAGACAAAGGAAGTGAGAAATAACACTAAGTAGTGAGCGAGGACAGTCGAAAGGAAATCAATTCCTGTTAAGTAGATTCTCCTCACTACATAGTCAGCGATTTACAAGCATAAACAAACATACATAAAACAAACAATCTCAATTTATACTGACGATAAAAGTGAAGTAATCAAAACAATTATTTAAAGTAGAAGTCAAGTAATCAAGCAAGGGAAAGTGTCGGTGCCTCACAGAAAGAACACAGTTTAGCGTTTATTTAATTATACCTCGAGCTCAAACAGGAAGGTTGTTGTAAGTTTTGGCTCCTCTGAACCTGTATGAGAGTAGTACTATATAGTAGTAACTGGCGTAGAAACAGGGAGCTAAAGCTCCCCCCTTTTTTTTAATGTTTTGTTATGGTTGAAAACCCCTTATTTTGAGCATTTGAGAAATAATTGTCCTTTTCCCATTGGATTTGTGCCCCCTATTTTCTTTTCACCATAAAATGTACTCCTTACTTATATAAAAGGCAAGTCCCGACTCCAAAAATAATTTACTTTCAATAGAAGCAGAAAAATCAGACAAACCAATGAAAAAAGTTTGAGCAAAATCTGATAACTAATGAGAAAGTTATTAATTTTTGATAACATGAAAAACTTTGAAAATCACAAGACAAATTGGCAAAACAATCATGAGTCTGTGACGTCATTGCCTCACTATCCACTAATTGTTTTCTTTATATTGATACAATAAATTCCTATTTTACCCTAAGAATCTTATTTCTTCACACCACCATCCAAGTTAGATTGATAGTAATATGTTTTTTGTGTGGATGCACTAATATACAGTGCGTCCCAGAAAAAACGAAACCGAGAATTATCGATTTTTTATCATGACTTAATCACATTTATAATTGAAAAAAGACACGTATTCGGAAAGCTTAGCTATTCCTCTTTAATTTGATGCAACTCATATGATACATATTTCATGCATGAGTGATTAAATGAATTTGAAGAGAGGAAACCAAAAAGTCATTTGGCGGACGGTATCTGAATTTCAAAGAGAAAATCCCATTTCTAGAAAGTTGAGGTTCTGCCCTTTCATACACCTCAATCGGGGAAAATGAGTAAGGTATGACAGAGTTCTGTTTGTTTAAAGTATACTTTACTATAGTACTATAGTACTTGTATTTCCATAATTTTGTCGAACGAATTCGTTTTCACTGGGTGCCTGCCATAGCAACATGCAGAATTGACTACAGACTTAACTCCGTTTCGTTGACAATCAGCCAAGCATGAAGTCTTTCGTCTACGGCTGATTGTCAACGAAATAGAGTTAAGTCTTTTGTCAACTCTGTTTGTTGCTACGGCAGGCACCCAGTGAAAACGAATTCGTTTGTTTTTCCTTGACATGAATTCAAAACATTTTCATTACATAAATTGTAAAATTGATGAAAACAAAAATGAAATCGGTTGTAACATAAAACAAATAACCCCATCCAACCAAACACTCTATTCCCCCCCCCCCCCCCCCCTCCCCACCATGCGACACACACACCACCCGACCACACTTCCACCATAGCCTCCTCAGAATACCCCAAATTGGAGAGAAAGACAAACAGAAACAATCTATTTAAAAAATTTAAAACAAAATCATTTAAACGAGGCTACAATAGCCACAATAGCCCAGTGTTAAAAGTTCATAAAACTTTACTTGTTCCCACTTTTGTAAATGTAAGGCCAATTATACTGCCCTCCCTGCAATATTCTTTTCTTCTTCCCTAAATTCCAACAGTTCTTTCTGAAACTCCCCTAAAGACAATAGTACGGACTTTCCCCTGCATTATTATATCAAATATTTCATTGCAAAAATATTTGTATTAAAAATATTTATTCGTGGGGAGTTACCGGACAACCCTAAATGAATATCTATCCAGTCGATAGACCTTAATTCCCTTATAGCTCAAACTTAGCTATTACATTTTGCCATAATCTTTGAACATGTACAGCCTACACACACACACGCACACACACACACACACACACACACACGCGCACACCCACACGAATTAACACAATATAAAAAAATACATACTGAAATGTTCGTTCGTTATGTGGAAAACACACCATTTACTTCTTGTTTACATGACAGATACCTAAGACCACAAGCCTGTTTCCGAAATAATCACTTAATCACTACACTTTTTTTAATGTAACAGTAAAAAAAAAAAAAAGAACATAGAACTAGTATTAGTAACATACTTAGGTCTTAATAAAAAATTACTTTACTCTGACGAGACAACGATAAGTTAACAAAGGTTTACATTATTCTTATTAAATTACATGTATTTATTCGGGAAAGTAAAATATCATGGAAGCAGTGAATACAAGCCAACATTAAGGTTTGAAGTGAGCCACATGGATGCTGGGAAAAGAAAATTATTAATTAAATAACGATAAGCCAAGGGTATTCTGTTCCCACCAAAATGGTATCAAAGGGAGGCCATATGCCGCCCCCCCCCCCCGACTCAGTGTAATTAAGGGTACGCATATGCAGGCGCCTACGCAGGATTTTTTCAAGGGGGGGGGGGGGGGGGGGTTAACATTTATAAACGACTCAGCCAGCCGCTGAATAAGCGGGGGGGGGGGGGGGGGGGGTAAGAGGACACTTTTTTTTTTGGGGGGGGGGGGGTCTCGAAATTTGAAAATTTGACATTTTGCTACCTTGGGGGGGGGTAAGGTCACCATTTTTAGGTCAGCCATGGGAATAATTTTTTTTTTTTTTTTTTTTTTTTTTTTTTTTTTTAAAAATATCCAAAGGGGGGGGTTTAAGGGGGGTAATGGGGGGGGGGGTTTACACAAAGAAAATTACCAAAGGGGGGGATTAACCTTTCCCCCCCCCCCCCCCCCCCCCTGTGTACGCGCCTGCGCATAAACACCCCCTAAGTCCGGTGTGTAAAGTCAATACGGGCCGGGTTTTTGTGTACTACGAGCCGGACTTTGGTGCGTGAAAAAGTACCCCTTTTACCGGACATTTTGGAAACACGCATGGTATCCCTCCGTTCATGGAGTGGGTTTGGGGGAGGCTATGCCGTGGTCTTGTTGGTACATCACTGGACAGTCTGGACTGTAGGTCACATAGTTCGCGGCCTAAGCCCTGCTGCTGCACCACTGTCCTGTGGCAAGACATTAAGCTACACCTGCCTCTCTCCACCCAGGTGTAGGAAACGGGTACGTGTCGTCATTCAACCTTACTGGCCCGAATTCACAAAGGAGGTTTGTCGACAAACCTTGGTTTTCGTACGTCATATGACGCGTTTTACACGTTTTTTTACAAACCTGGTTTGTAAAGAACAAAAGGAGGTTTGGCAAAACAAAAGGAGGTTTGAGCTCAAACCTTGGTCTGAGCTCAAACCTTGCTTTGTGAATTCGGGCCATTGTGTTTATATGTATATTATTTTCGATCCATGGTTTTATTTATGCTTGATTGTATTTGTTTTGTTTTGCTGTCAACTCAAAATTATTTAAAACAAATTTGTCTTTTCGTATGAATGTATATGTTTATATGTGTACTTCTTCTTCTTCGCTATAAGTACAGGCCACCGTCGGGTGCTATGCAGGTTTATATACATGTATTTTCTCAATAAAAGGTCTACAATGAACTATGTGCAGTTAAAAAGACATCCGTAGCTTAACGGAGCTGGATCTTGAGTACCTCTCTCTTAAAGCTTAGCAGAGATTTACAGGTTACGGCGGCCTATCCATATAGCATATGAATACCAACAATTTCCATTGGTAAATGAACAAAATATATTAATCAAATGAACCTTATAAATGTCCCACATAAAAAAGACGTGCACGTTTCAGCATCAAAAGCCGATAGCAAGTTCCTTATAAAGTATAATACCATTGCTTCACTTAAAGAGAAAGTTGAGTTCTGGGAAGAGGTGAACACTAATTTGTGAACGTTATCATTGTATTATGCAAGTGTGGAAGAACATCAGATAAAACATGTTCCCTGAAAAGCATGGCTCTTCAAATGCCTTAATGTTCTATATATGGCTTTTAACATCATAGAAATCGGGACGGATTTTTCGCCACGTTTTCGTTTAGTCCCATATACATCTTTCTGTGTACAGTGCTTGTAACTTTACCAAGACTGGGCCAAATTTCTTAGCATTTTGATGATTTCAGAACCGTGCAATACACATAAATACTTATATGCCAGATGATTTATCTTTTCTGATCGATTCCACAACGTTTCTTTCACAGGCGCGTAGCCACGGGGGGGGGGGGGGGCACGTGCCCCCCCCTTAAATTTCCAAGATCGGTTGATTTTTTTAGACCCCTTTTTTGACCTCGATCGATAACATGTAAGTGCCCCCCCCCCCCCCCCCCCCCAACATCGAACTCTGGCTACGCGCCTGTTCTTTCACAATGCAATCGCTTGATCAGAACTCAACCTTCTCTTTAATGGCTGCTGGGAAAACAGCACCACCCTCGCCTAGACACAATGTATTAGGCGCGTTATAAATGTGATCTATTATTATTAGTAGTAGTAGTAGTATAAAAGTATAATAGAAAAGTCATTTCAAGGAATGAGGAAATGTATTTACATTAAAAAAATACAAAAATACAAAAATGATAACATAGTCGTAGTAGAAATAGCTGTACATTATAATGGTATGTTAATAAAGTGTGAATCTAAGACAACGTATTTTCTAAATATATAATATAAACTTACCTAGACATATGATAAGCAAAGTTAAATATACATAACATACAACATTAATGAACATGACGTATTGTGACTATTTTTATTACAATTATGACCTAGTCAAACATATTACGGAATGCCATTTTCCTTTCTATCTGTAATGAATCAAAATCTGTTGCTAGTTGTATTATTTGTAGCATTTCACAGAAAAAAGAAACAAATATGCTGTACGTCGGTTCAAAGATTAAATGGTTATGGTAATGGATATAAATGATAAACGATTGATCAGGAAAATTTAGACTGCCTTCTAATAGCAACAATGTGTTCAAACAATCGCTTCAAATATTTAATGATTATGATGATAATGTGGTAATGTACATAAATGACGCATGATTGATGAAGAAAATAAAGAATGTTTGAAAGCAAGAATTCGTTGCTCCCAGTATAACATAATCCATATTTACAGTATAAGAACGTCGTATTAAGTCTATCTGCACGGACAATTACATACACCCGGACACCTGCCCCGAACAACAACCGTAGGACAATTTACCTCCGATAACTACCACGCCCCTAGGACAATGAAAAGTACACAATAATTCCCTAGAAGATTCCCCCCCCCCCACACACACACAATGCTACTTCATGTCGGAAAATGTATAGCAATATAATGTACTATATTTCATACAATGAAATCTGCTTATTTATATAGTAAAAGGTCCTGCGGCATGCCAGTGGTAATCAAGATTCTTTCCCAAATTCACTTGATAACAATATTCCTTTTAAAGCAGTAAATTAAACAGTACTATTACACCAGTGTATCTTTTTAATACATTAAGCTATATTCTTCATAACTTTTCTGAATTCTACATGTAAATGTAATGCTCTTTTTCAGTTACTTTTGCCTATGTTAAGTACCATTTAATTAAGACATTATGTGAGTTTTTGTATTGATTTCGAAACAGAATAACCGAATTAATCCATTGATGCTGTTCTCTGTGATTGAAAATGAAGAGAAGTAAAATCGCTGACAAGCAAATTGTGATTTTCTGAAGCTTCCAATCGTCTTAATTTGGGGTAAGTACAGTCTCATAATCGGCATCCCCTTTTATTTTGTTTGCAAACTGCGCAACATTCTGGTTCTCATAAATCAGGTGTGATGACGGTGCACGTCTTTCTCCTGGTCTTTTAGACGAAGCCGTGGAGGTGATATCCATCTCCTGGTATGTCGTGTCTGCCTCGGGTCTGGATGTTAGATCCATGTAAGGATCTGGTCCGTTCTCTTCAGTCCTGATTGGTACTTTGCGTCTTTTACAGAAGAAAAAAAATCACATGAATAAATTCATATTAATCCGCAGGTTTAGAATTATTAATTTCTCTCTTTTTCAAGAAATGATTCTGAAAATATGGTTAACTCTGGATGGATAAAGTTTATATTTTCTCACAACTTTGTTGATCGATTTAAAGAGTGAGAAGGTATAAGCTTTACCTATACAAAATAAGCCATATTGTCATTAATTTCATGGAAAACGATAAGAGAAAATCACAGAGGTAATAATAAAATCCCTTAATTAATCCTTAAATCTTATCATGAATAAAATTCATGATATCGTATTTTTAAACCTCAACTGCATTGGAAAAGAAGGTAGCAATGTTAAAATTCATTGCTGATTCGAAGCAACCCACTTTATTCTTTACATCTGAAGAAACCCTCAACGGTTGAAGTGTGAGTCTGGTTTGATTGTGGATTCAAAGGTCTGACAACCTTATACCGGATGAAAATTCAACTAACCTATCTTATTTCAAGTATTAAAGTGCTATAACCCTCAAAAACTGATTATCTGTATCGTGCATACTTGGAGACAGCTCTTTAATGGTATGGTACCTTTCTGAAGTTGTTTATTTCGTCATTGAAGTTGTTCATTTTGTCTATTTCGTCTAAATCTCTTCTGAAAAGCGCTATATAAGGCCATGTAAAAAAAATATACATGTTTAGCGTCCCCGCCCGCTTCCTTTTTGGGGGCCGCCTCCTATTTTTTTTTCTCGAAAAATAGCCCGACTGACAGGGAAAATGTACCGAGCGGCCATTTTGAAAGAGAGAAAAAAAAAGGGCCTCCTCCCTCTTTTTTTTTCAAAATACAGGACGCTAAACATGTTTTTTTATTTTATTTGGCCTAAGTAGAAGTTATTATTATTATTATTATTATTATTATTATTATTTATAACTCGTAAAAGGTGAAATACAGGGCTAAAATAAAATGCATAAACCTTAATTTACCTGATATGCAAGAAAGTAATGGCAACTGCATACAGCAACAGGGCTACAACAACTACAATCAGGCCAATTTGCGCTCCTGGACAAAGAAAAACAAATCATACATATAACGACAATATAACGGCTTCCTTTCAGTTCTACTTTGTTTTCACTGAAGAACGGTGCATTTCTGCTTTAAATCAAGTATTGTATAAAATAATTACGAAAAACATTGCCTTTCATTTGTAATGTGCCTAATTTCTCAAGTTTTGTCACTATGCAGTGACTGAACAGGGGCGAAATCTCTGGTGGCTACAGTCCTTTAGACAGACAGCCCAATTATGAGTCCGATAATTTTGGTCTTGCGGGCCTTTGGACAACTTTTTTTTTTGGAGGGTTTATTACATGAACATCCCTCGTACGTAGACTAACAGCCTAGCCACGTTCATTAGACCGATGGTCCCCGATACCGAATTGCGGTATCTTAAGTTAAGTATTTCTTTCTCTTGTCGGTCTTTCGGTCTCTTATGGGCTGTCGGTATACTGGGATGACTCCTTCGTGTAAAACAAGTTGTTATATTTTCATAAAGATTTTTTTTATTTCAGAGGAATCATTCAGACTTGCCGTAGGACACAATGTTGGGAGACGAACTTCCTGTACATTCTGTTGAAGAAGAAAAAAAAAGTAGAAGGAAAGATTATTCAGCAAATTTAGGGAGGTGATATCGCATTAGACTCTGCATGTATGTGTTCTTTTTAACATTTTTTTAAAATGATATGAATGTTCCCATCGCTTTATATCAATTGAAACGAATATAACTATGTAAAGATATAAAGAAAGTGTTTAATCTGTTTTGAAGGTCATAAAACACATATATAGTACCACAGGAGTTTATTTATTCTGTTGGATTTAAGTATGGCAGGCCATTCATGCAATTGTTTGCTCTCACCATTCACTGGCATTGGTCTCTCAAGGGACGTACAAATCATGGTTACAAAGCTACAGAATTTACCTTTTAATGAATGAAAAAATATCATCTAAAGATCATAATTGAGAGAGCAACCAGTGACATGGATGGCCTGCCATAGTTAAAGTTAAAGACGATCTTAGTCTTTGTGAAACACCCCCTTGGAATTCCAAATAAATATTTTCATGGCAATCATGATTGAAGCACGAGCTCTTTTCTTTATTTACTCCACAAGGATTCAAATTTAATTACATAACACCTGCAGTTAATGCGGGATAGGGTTGCGGCCTCTCTTTCCCCGAACACCAATATTCAGGCAGCGAGCTGCCCAAATATGCATTTTATATATCTCGAATATTTTGGTGATATATAACACTTTCACAATGTACATATGCTCAAACTTTGTTTTTATTTCACTGGTTCAAACAGCCAATCTACTGCAGGATAAATAATCCAGAATAAATCATAGCAATACATCTCAAATTAGGTTCCCAAACCAGAGCTCAAGATTAGCTTTAGAGTCAAGATTTTCTGTAAAATTGTTAAAAGGTTATCACTGAAGCCTAAAGCATCTGGATCAGAAAATAAGAATATTGGATCTAATTTGATGAGGATTTAGGTGATTTATTTAGACCTTGTTCGTGTTCAAAAGAAACTCACCTGTTTTCACAGGTCCAAATGTACCGGATGTCACACCACCCATATCATTGAACGCTCTAAATGCATAGCTGTCAAAAAACGGGGAAAAAATTAACAATTTTAAATTGATACGGATTTGCCAACTACAAATAAAAAAAAATATATGCACTCAATGTATTCTACAAGTATGTTCTCACTTATGAAAGCACTCCAGAAGTATATTGTGGTATCGTTCACCGAATTACATTTATCATGTTTATCATGGTAGTAAATGGTAATTCCATGGATTACAATGAAAATGTTCGTTATCAGTGATAGCATACATTTAGAGCCCTATATTACATAAAGAGAAAGTGGGAATCTGGTAAAAGTGAAAAAATACTTTTTGAGATTTCTCATTCTGTTTATGTCAGTTTGAAAATTTGTCAAATAGAAATGTCCCCTGAAAAGGATTGCTCTTCAAATGCCCTCGTATTCGAAATATGACTTGAAATAGCTGAAGCATGTGAACCGAACAACTTGTGTGTGTAGTCCCATACACCCATTTTTGAGCAAAGCAAGATTAAGCCATATTTCTTATCAATTTGATGATTCTTAAACCTCACAGCACACACTAATTCCTAACTACTACACTGTTTACCATCAACCATTCCAAAGTGCTTAGTTTCTTTCACAGTCTCACTGCATGCTCAGGAATCAAGTCTATCTTTAAACCAAAAAAAATCGTACTTCTACAAATTGATATACTCACTAGTATTGTGTGTTGTCATCCAAACGTCCATTGCAATATTCCTTTGGACTACCTGCACAGGTCCCATCACCTATGACTACCGTAGCCGAAGGATCCGTTGCTCGTCTTTTACGATTAGAGCCTGTTGGATAGACATATATGTAAAGAATATATCACAAACCATGTACAATTAACAAACATTAATTTCTTATTGCCAAACTATATTTCATGCTCTTATCAATATTATATATTATATACCTCACTTAAGTAATCCAGCAATCTGATTGGTCGAAATTGCATTCATGAACTTGAACTGTTCCTGTTAAAACAGACCTATTTTCCCAATAACCATGGTTATTGGGAAAATAGGTCAGTCTCCATGGTTACCCCATAGGTTTACATGTTAAAAAATGGTTTGAGCGATCAAGGATACGATACGTGTGCGAAGAATTGGTCGGTAATTTCAATACAATTGAATCTCGATCGATCTTACCGACCAATTTTATCTTGCATTGTTGACATGAAGACGAAAATAAACTTCCAAAAACAAAAAAACAACATCTGCCGATAGATCTTGATCTAAGTTCGTGCCAATATGCATTGAAAAAGTAAAAGAAGGGCCCGATTAATGGAGCAGCCGCGAATCATCAATCACGCGAAGCCGTTTTCAATCCATTTTAATGTATATATTAGAGAAAACTGTTAAGTATGGTAACAGAGCGCGATAGCCGAGCGGATTAAGGCGCTGATTTTAGTTACATCACCTTTTGTACGCAAGAGATCGAATCCCATTTTCGACAAAAGTTTTTTTATTTTTTATTTTTTATTTTTTAGTCTATTTTTTTTCGGCATATAAAAGTATTAATGACTGCTTTAATATTCGAGAAATAGTTGTTTTTATACGCTCTCGGGAAGGTTACAATTGGGCTATTGCCCTCGGCACGCCTCGGGGCAATAGCACAATTCTATCCTTCCCTTGAGCGTATAAAAACAACTATTTCTCTCAAAGCAGTCATTAATACTATAATATCAAATTATGAATCTCATAAAATTGGTAAATTAGTATTCTCTTTCTCTTCTTCAGCTTGAACTTTTTGATCATAGATTTGTAAAAAAATAATTTTATAATACGTACAGTATATTTTTTGTGATTTGTGTACAAAACAAATGGAAATATAATGTTTCCTAAAAAGATATAAAACATTGGTTAGAATCTGAGGCAAAGAAACCCAATCCCTTAGACAAAAATCTGCTTTTCTTAACATGAACTAAATGGACTTTCTGCATGACCTTTGCCCTTCTTACCGAACGTCGGTGGAAATGGATATGGGACATCAATGGCTGTGATGTAAGCATTCTGAGCTCTGGCCTCTTCGTAATTCTGTTCTGTGCTGCCAACAGTTGGATCATTACCTAAATAAAGAATTCAAAACATACATGTACATTTAACATTAAAATTATAGTACGAGTCACCAAAAATGGATACTCTGATCCAATCCTTAAATAAATGTAATTGGAGATTCTTTTTTTGATACGTTGATCATTAAATCTGGCAATAAAAAAATGAAAGTAAAAAGCAGATATTTAATAATTCATGCCATATTGGCTCAGTGCAAATTTTGAATGAGATGCACAGCGATACCCTTCGGGGTAAAACAAAAAGGATCATATAACTATGACCCCTGGCCCCCTCATATATACATAATCACAGATCAGTGAATCGTGAGATACAGAAATTTAATGATATATTTAATAATAATGATAGTTTCTTCTCAAGTCCTGGTAGATGTGAGCAGGGTATGAGATGCTGCATAGTCCGCTCATCATTCTCACTATGTCCCGACTTCACTAGGTTGGTGTTACAACGATCGAAAGCAGAACAAGAGACAAATGTACAGGTAAATGTATATACAACTGTACATGTACAGTTAACGACCTAATTATTCATACCCCTTGTAAATTTGATGTATTCTGTGTTTTTCGTAACTCAAGAATGAAAGGTGGACTGGTCGAAATAGGGTCTTTTGTTGAATGCTTTTAGATGTGTGCTTTAATATGTCACATTCTCGAGAAACATAAATGAGAACAAATTAAATTTTCAAATACTTCAAAAAATTACAAAACATTGTAAGGGTATGAATGATTATGGTTGTTAACTGTACGTACCTATTGTTTGGCCCGGGGTTGAATATGATTGTGATTAGAAGTTAAGAATTTGGTTTGTTTAGGAAGTTGTTTTCTGAGTATGTCTCATGACCCATCCCTATTAAACTCACCTTCCTTTGTGATGATGACAGCGAAGGTCAAAAGTTCACCGTTGTCATGGCTGAATAAATCGTCTGGAAGCACCACAGCGAATGAAGTGGTCGAGGTATCAGAGAAATCTGTATTGGCTTCATAGGGATAGTCTTCCGGAACTGGGGGTGGCTCTGTCGTTAAAATGATTGTCAGATGTAAAAAGAACTGTCTAAAACACTTACCATCGAATCAACAATGGTATCAGCAATGAATCAAAGAGCTGAGTTAATATGAATTGTAGTCTTTGTAAGCATAAATCTTGTAGCAAAAAATATACTACTTACGGATGGTAAAGCCTCTCCACTGTCTAAAGGAACAGAATTCCCTCTGTTAAACATTCGCGGACTTGTGAACAAAGTTGACTCTCTTCGTTAAATATTGTCGGATAACAAAATTGACCTGCTATGTTTAAACGAAACTTTTTGTGACGATACAATCGGTGATAACAAACTTCTCGTAGAAGGCCTACGTATTGAACGTAGAGATAGAAACCGTTCAGGCGGAGGCGTTGCTGTTTATATTGCAGAATCATTGACTTATTTCAGGAGAAACGAATTCGAGGACTCCTCCCTTGAAATGATTTGTCAGCAGTCTGCAACTGCCATTTCAAAAGAGTATCATGCTTTGATAGATTTGAAACAATACTAGAATCTGTTAGCTGCTCTCGTTCGTCAATAAGTGAAATATTTGTCATATTTGATATTAACTGTGATTATTGGAATTCTGATCGTCATTCAAGTAATTTTATTAAACTTGATTTTCTTATGGTCGTATAATTTTTCACAAATAATTGATACACCAACATGCGTAACTGATAGAAGCGAAACACTTATTGATACTATTTTCACCTCCAATATTGAAACTATTATTGAACATGGGTGTATACAAACTTCAATAAGCAATCATTATATGGTTTACGTGATTCGAAAACTGCATTTCAAATCACAAAAGGGCTTAGTGAAGAAAAAGTAATTAATTATAGATCTTTTAAATATTTTGATTCAGAAGAGTTTCAATCTCTATTATCTCAAGCCCCATGGCATGTTTTGAACGAAGTAACTAACGTTGATGATTATTGGTTAAAATGGAAAATATATATTCATATCAATAGCTCATCGTCTTGCTCCTATGAAAAAACTTCGAGTGAGAAATGATTCTGCTCCTTGGATCGATTCTAATCTTCGTAAATTAATGTCTAAGAGGGATAAAGCATAGAAAAAAATGTTTGTCAGTGAAACATGAAAAACTGAATACTTCCAAAGAAACAGAATTTGACCAACTCTGGTCTTCTTATAACGAAGTCAATATTTCTTTAAGGAACAGTAAAAATTAATATTTAAAATCACAAATAAGATCTAACTCAAATGATTACAAATGTATGTGGAAATGTCTACGCTCATTGATCCCTAAGCTACGTGTAGCACTCCCACATGCTTTACATGTTAATGGTCAAACATACCAGGATGATGTTAGCATATCCAGTGCCTTTAATGATTATATTATCAATCTAAGTGTAAATAACCCACTACCAAGGGAATCTAACGTTAATTTTGATAGATACAACATTTTACTGAATTCGATTAATTATCTTAATACTTCAGCTTCTGCCTCTGAGCTTTTTGAATTTGACCTGATTGACTGTGAATGTGTTCGGAAATCAATTTTGAATTTAGATATCTCAAAATCAAGTGGAGGGGATGAAATAAATGTAAAACTACTTAAGAGTGCCGGAAAAGAAATCATTATATTTATAACTGATAAATTTGTCATTCAGTACTGGCACCTTCCCTGATGAATGGAAACATGCTAAGGTGTTCCCCTTGTTTAAGAAAGGAGATGTAAATTCCATGACTAATTACCGTCCGATATCTATAATGCCAGCTGTCAGTAAACTTATAGAAAGAATGGTTCGAAACCAGCTTTATGACTTTTTAATTCTTAATGATGTATTAACAGAAATACTGTTTGGGTTCAGACCCGGTCACTCGACAGCCTCAGCACTTGTTGCATTAACTGAGTCATGGCTACATGCCATCGACGCTCGATTAATAGTCGGCGCTCTCTTTATAGACCTTTATAGCTGTTAGGCAGGGATATGCTGTACTCTGTTAGCCATTGGACAAGGTAGCCAATCTTTGGTTGGTTCGGTATATGCCGCAAAGTAATTGGAATTTAATTGGGATGGCTTGTCTAAGGTGTGGAAACGGGGTTCTCCTGGGAAGCAGGTGTGGAGTCTCTGAAGATTGAAGGCTGGCCAACATGTTGAGGGACGATTTGATGGATGTAGCTGATGCTGTCTTTTCATGTCTGTGCTCTGAGACGGTGTATTTGGCCGTCTTCTTCCAGGAGAAATACGGGACCGACAAGTTCAGAAGCTCCTTTATGCAGTGGCGGATCCAGGGGGGGGGGGGCAAAGGGGGCACGTGTCTCCCAGCCAAAAAAAAATATGTTAAAATCAGCCCTAAATTCTCCCGAAATGTACTGAAAAACAGGGACGTGACCCCCGGCCCCAATTTTTTTTATTAAAAATGTAATTAAAAAAAAAAAAAAAGGAGATACCAATGGCAGACCTAAAAAGGTTACCTTACCCCCTAGCGAGTTTTGTTGGGGACTAAAAAAATAATATATATATGTTCTCTTTCCCACCGTGTGCCCCCCCCCCCCCCCGGAAGAAATTCCTGGATCCGCCCCTGATGAATGGTAGCTGGTAATGCTTGAGGAAGCCACTGAATGAAGCAATATACCTGGTGCTTGGATGGGGGCATAATTAACATGTGGAAGAAGACCCGGGATTCAAATCTGCCGTGTGGGAGAAGCAGCAGCTGGCCGAGTAGTCTCAATTGCTGGGTATGGAGGCTGTAGGAGATAGGTAGGATTCCTGAGAATAGATGTATCGCTTCGGTAGCAGTGGTGCGAGGAAGTTCCAGGATAGTTTTGAACAACTGGGCTTGAGCCCTGTCAAGATGGAGCTTGGCCATTTTTGTCAGATTCATGACCTAATAATAACTTTTATTTACCCAGGGTAGCCACTTCAGTTATGAAACTGTTCTTCCAGCGGGCCCTGCATAACATCCGTATAACATCCTCGGAAATCCGAACCTCTCCCTTAGGATTGAAGAGATGTGAGGGGGTAGGCCACTCCTGTGTGCTCCAACACCTGTAAGGGGGTACATTGTTATGTAACCGGTTGAGATCATGCTGGCGCCGGGGTCTGACTGGCAAGCCGTGCACATGATTCCAGGATGAGGGTGTGTCTCAGTCCGGGGTATCTCATCCCTTACCGTATGAAAGAAAATTAGAGGATGTGGAGGATCCCATCACCACAATGGCACTCTTAGAGGCATTGATGGTGATGCCGTGGTGCCTGTATATATGGAGACAGTGTGAAGACCAAGGCCTTTAGCCCTGACCATTTTCATCAGGCCATCTATGTACACATAGTAAAGCAAGGGAGGAAGGATTTCCCGTGCAAACACCCCTTACTTTACGGGTACTTCAGGTCGGTCGATGGTGCTTTTATCCCTGTTAGTGTGACACAAACCTTTACGACTTGGGTCCCCAGTAGTTAGGTTGTGAGCTATGAATTGCTCTTTTGAGTGGTTTCGGGCTATGTTGTGTGGGAGGGCTGCAAGGAAACTGTCTTTGTGAAAGTTATGCGATTCCTGGATTGATCGTTCGATTGTTCGACTGTTCCTTTTGGGTCTTGACATATTTCCCTAGAACAGGCTGAGGGTAGGAGTTACAGATACCTTTCGTGGGGTTTTGGGGGATTTCCATTACATCCATGTCAAGTGGCATGAATGGGTTGTCTGTGTGGAGTTACAAGTGTGAGGTTGGGTTGGGGCTGGTATTCGGGTTATTCCTTTTATCCCATGTCTTAGACCCTATCCGGACACCTTGCCCCTAGACATCCACCCCCGGATAACATCCCGGTCAACTACCCCTAGGGCAACCATCACCTAGGACGACTACCCCTAGGACAACTACCCCCCCCCGAACAACTACCCCCCAGAAAACGACCCCGTAGGTCAACTACCCCCTAGGATAGTTGTCCGGGGGTAGTTGTCCTAACGGATGGTTGTCGTAGGAGGAAGTTGTCTGGGGGGTAGTTGTCGGGGTGGTAGTTGTCCGGGGGTACTTTTTCTAGGGGGTAGTTTACTGGGGGTAGTTATCCGGGGGTCGATTTCCAAGGGGTATTCTGCCTAGAGGGTGGTTGCCCTAGGGGGTAGTTGTCCTAGAGGGTAGTTGTCCAAAACACGTACCTTCTTGCGGCGTTTCCACTGGTTCAGTTGAAACTGGGTCACTTTCATACTCTCCATCATTCACTGCTATTATCTGATAGAGATAAATAAAAACAGTAAAAAAATTCTGGTTTTTGTTATTGAAAAGTATTTGATAGAGCGCCATATATATGGCAGTCATGCTTAAGCCGTGGTGATAATTGTGAAACGCCCGGAGTGTCAGTTTTGACAGACATGAGCGCTATACAAGAACCCACTGTTATCATTATTATTATCATTAATATTTTACTATTATCATTTTTAAAGTTGTTTGTTGTATCTATTCAACAGTTATCACTCTTTATTATTCATTCTGCAAATAACTTTCAATTTATCAGTTTATTACCAAAAAATAATTATCACTAATGTACATCTCATATGATAAGTCCTGGGTTCGATCGCTGCTTGGTTTTTACATCCTTGGACGAGGTGTTTTGCCCTCATCTGTCCCTCTCCACTAAGGTGATGGTACCTGGCAATGCTGGAGTAATAATAATTGCAGGGCTTGCAGAAAAAAGCAGTATTAATACAGATGTGGCTACCATGGGTAAATAAGGCCAATATTTAGTTATTATTTATTACTCACCATAAATGTATAAGAGAACCCAGGGTACAGATCATTGTATGTAACTGCCAGGACCGGGGGACTATAAACATCGCTGAATTCATGACTAGGGTTGTCCTGTACGTGGGTGACAAACGAAGAGTTAAATTCAACATATTCTACAAATGAATCATGCAAATGAATTCATCAAATGATCTGCATGTGTACTGGAAACAATTGCATGGCATTTAGTTTTTCATATATATATTCAGAGTATTATTGATATTATTATCATGATTATGATGGTACATGACGCTATCCAGCGGTACATAAAGGGAGAAGAATTTCTTAATTCAATCCGACAAACAGTCCGTGAAGTCCTTCATGAAGAGATCAACGTGCTTTTGAATAGAATTGATTTAAATGAAGGGAAGATCATGGACCTAGAATGTCGTTTCAATGAAAGGGAGAAGGAGATCGTTGATCTAAAAAAGTTGATTGAAGACCAACAATCATCGCTGACCAGGGTCCAGCGCACAGCCAACATCCAAGAACAATACTCGCGACGCAATTGTTTGCGTTTTTACGGTGTCGCACACAAAGAGGGAAAGGACACTGATGACCTCATTTGTGAGCTTGCTCGAGAAAGGCTCAAAGTGACCTTGAAGAAAGAGGACATCGAACGATAACACCGCCTGCCTACAAAGACTACGGAATCTGTGAATCCCCCTGCCCGTTCAACAAGAAGCAACAAACGCAATAACGGAACAAAACCTGACGTCATCATCGCTAAATTCGTGTCTTGTCTTGTCAAAGCGACGCGAACTGTAAGGCACAAGAATGGGGATCGACGAGGACCTTACCAAGACAAACGCTAACTTACTATCAAAAGCGAAAAATTGTGAGAAGACACTTACCGCATGGTCTTCCGATGGCAGAATACTCGGCCTCTTCCCAACGAGTGGAGGCAAACAAATTAAACGATTAATTACGAGCGAAAATGACTTAAAGTGACTATTAAAGACTTTTCTCTAGCACTGAAGCTATCACTGACTCTACAGAGACCCATTTTCCCATTGTTATCAATCATGCAATTACTGTGGTGCATTCCAAATCTGCAGTACTCTGTACTCTTAGAACATTTTTGTTTCTTTTTCTTTTGTATGTAATAGTAGTAATAACTTTGGTTTTGTGAATATATATTCTTGTGTATTTATGTGTATACGTGTGAATGATGACCCTTCGGGCATCATATGAACGTGCGATCAGTAATGTTGATTTGAGTACAGTTTCCCATATTTTGTCACCTATGATTGGAGATAATGAGACGTTTGGAATAGATCAATCTTTTTATTTTCCTGATGACCTTAATTCTACCCTTTTGAAATATTCTTTGAACTCGATAAATTTTTCCATATTACATATGAATTGTCGTAGTATTCTAAGTAACTTTGATGGTATTTCTGCTTTGTTAAATAGTCTGAATTTTCAGTTTTCTGTTATGGGCGTAACTGAAACTTGGCTGAAAGACAACTCATTATTGTGCAATATTCAAGGTTTTAGCTTTTTACATAATAGTAGAGCTGAGAGGAGAGGAGGGGGTGTTGGTGTGTTCATTCGGGAAAATCTGATTCATAAACATAGAGGTGATTTAGATATTAACAATGGAGTAATAGAAAGTATATTTATTGAAATAGAGAATGTATGTAATAAGAACATAATTATAGGAGTAATTTATAGGCCATCTGATCAGTCTGTGCAAGAATTTTTAGATATAACTGGTTCAGCTCTTCATAAAATAAACACAGAGAATAAAATTGTATATCTGATGGGAGATTTCAATATTAATCTATTAAATACCACATCTTGTCATAAAGCTAATGACTTTTTAAATATGCTGGTAACTTTTTCTATGTATCCACTCATACATCACCCTACTCGAGTGACCGATCGTTGTGTTTCTTTATTAGATAATATTATTACTAATGATGTTACTAATAAATTAAACGGTGCTATTTTAGTTGATATCTCAGATCATTTTCCTGTATTTAGTGTTTGTCATCATAAAATCAAGGAAAAGAAATATGTAATAAGCAAAAGACAGTTTAATGATAGTAATATTTTTGAATTCAGTAAACGATTGCAAAATGTCAGATGGAATTTGAAATCAAGTGATTGTAATGTGAGCTATAGTTGCTTTTTGTCAAAATTTATTCGCATTTTTTAATATGAAGAATGCTTTCCTTTGCAAAAAATAAATGTTAATAGACGTAAGCATAAACCATGGATAAATAAAGTATTGATGAAAAAAATTAAAAAGAAATGTAAATTGTATGAAAAGTCTTTGAAAAATTCAACTGAATATAGGAAAAGAGTTTACAAACAATACAGAAATAAAGTTACAAATGAAATTAAGAAAGCTAAATATCAATATTGTAAGGATAAATTTAATCATGATAAGGGTGATATTAGACTAATTTGGAAGACTATTAATGGAGAACTTGGTACGAAATCTGTCAAACATTGTGTTGAAAAAATTGATGTAAATGGTTCCACAATTACAAACAAAGAAGATATCTCTAAAAGCTTTAATGAATATTTTGTTAATATTGGTTTCAATCTGACAAACAATGTGCAATATTCCAACAGTTTCTACAATGATAATGTATTTGTTAATGACAAATCAGCATATTTTACTCCTATATCATGTAAAGAAATTATCGATTTCGTTCGTTGTTTGAAGAATGGTACCAGTGCTGGTTGTGATGATATTAATATTACTGTTGTCAAGAAAATTATACATTTGATTTGTGTACCTCTTTGTTCTATTTTCAATTCTTGTTTGTCAACTGGTATTTTTCCTAATCAAATGAAAATAGCCAAAGTTATTCCAGTTTTTAAAAGTGGTGATCGCACTAATGTACATAATTACCGGCCTATTTCTGTCCTCCCTATTTTCTCTAAATTTTTTGAAAAGTGTTTATATAAGCGTTTAAGTACTTTCTTAACATCGTGCAATATTTTGTCTGAAAATCAACATGGTTTCCGAACGGGACACTCCACAACGACTGCTCTTCTTAATTTCATTGATAAAGTTTCTTATGCAATTGATTCTAGACAGTTCACAGTTGGTTTATTTCTTGATTTAAGTAAAGCCTTTGATACTTTAGATCATGTAATTTTGTTACGTAAATTAGAGGCTTATGGTATTCGTGGAATTCTTTTGCAATTATTTAAAGATTATTTATCAAATCGTCAACAATTTGTTTCTATTCAAAATCAACAATCTTCATATTTGCCCATTCGTTGTGGAGTGCCCCAGGGTTCAATACTTCAATACTTCAATTACTTAATTTATATTAATGATATTGTGAGTTCATCTGATTTGTTACATTTTATATTATTTGCAGACGATACCAGTGTGTTCATGTCTCATAATAATCTCCGTACGCTAGTTGATTCATTCAATTCTGAAATAAATAAATTAAGTGAATGGTTGATCAACAATAAACTAGTTTTGAATGTTGCTAAAACCCAATATATTGTATTCACTAAACGACGTATTAAAGATAATTTTGCAATCAATTTTTATGGTCATCAAATTAATCGTACTTCTTGTGTGAAATTTTTAGGTGTTCATATCGATGAATCTTTAACATGGCATGAACACGTTGGTATCGTATGCAATCGTGTTGCCAAAGCTGTTGGCATTATTTACCGTTTGAGACATTTTCCAAGACATATTTTAGTTATGTTATATTATGCATTGATTTTCTCCCATGTCAATTATTGTAATATTGCTTGGTCAAACAATCATGATTATTTTATTACTAAACTATTTGTTTTGCAGAAAAAAGCCATAAGAATAATTTCTAATTCACCATATCATGCTCATACTTTGCCAATCTTTTTCCAGTTAAATCTCCTAAATGTTTATGACATTAATAGATTGAATATTGCAATATTTATGTTTATGTGTTCTAGAGGTTTATTACCATCTCCAATTACATCAAAATTTATTTTAAATAGTAACATACATAATTATAATACACGTAATGCTGTTGAATACCATCTGCCAAAAGTTAGAACTAATATTTCAAAGTTTACTATTTTTTATAAAGGTCCTCATCTATTGAGCACGATTCCAAACCATCTAAAGAATCAACCTTCCTTAAATAGTTTTAAACGTTCCTTCCGATTGTTTTTATCAAATTTGTACTCAATAACCTGAATATCATAGTATATATATATATATATATATATGTTATTTTTTTTGTATAATGTTTTCCTTTTCCGTTTTACTGTTTCTACCTGCTTTCTTTTTCTTCTTAATGTTATGTTAATTACGTATTTGTTTAGGGGTCAACGTTTAACAAGGCTAAATGCTCTTTTTTGTTGACCCCTCATTCGACATAAATTTTCTTTCTTAACTAATTTCCTTGTTAATATTATTGTATTCATATTATTTGTAATGTTACCCTTCTACATGTATTTATATATTTCTCTCTTTTTTTTTAATACTCTGTATGTATTGTATATTTTTTTTATGAAGAATGAAATAAATACCATACCATACCATACCATACATGCAATTATTAAGATTATGATTATTGTAAATTATTTGTAAATTATTATCATTAATATTATTATCATTTAGTGTTATTAATATGATGATTATTTAGATTATCATTATTGTTTTTAGTATTATATCATTATCATCATCATTACTATTTATACTACTGCTACTACTACAAATAATAATACCACTACATGCACTATTATTATAAATTTTAACTTTATTTATATGTGTATATGTATCATCATTATCATAATAACTATTATTGATATGAATATTTGTATTATTATTATTACTATAATAATTATCATCATCATCACTTCTGTATAATGTACTTACATCTCTAGTACCAACGTAGCTTATCATATAAGACGTGATATCACCATTAGGCTCTACTGGACTCTCATAAGTCAAGGTGATTGTATTCTTATCTACTGCTTCTGCTCGAGGGTTGCGTACAGGACTTGGTTCTTAATATAATAAGAAATTACAAAACCAAATACATAAAAAATCAAGATTTAACTTTGCATCTCAAAGCCTAACATTATTTCCACAGAAAATGTTCACTTGCCAAAAAATATGATTTGGGCGATATCTCCCCAAAAGTTATGACTTTAGTAGTAAATCAATAGGATTGAGGTAAACATATTTTAAAGCGTGAACTTCTTTTAAAAAACCCACTCTTGGGGCAAAATATGCCAATAATTTTTATCATAACATCTCATCTTTGGTTCTTATTATTTCATGCCACAAGCGCTTCAGATTTGATGTTTTTTTGTCATGGTAAATCATGATGAAGGGATCGAATATTAGGGAGTTATTTCAATAACCCACTGAACATGTTAAAACAAAGTTATAGGGGTTTTAAAATAGCATGTACTTTTCTTACAGCTCTGGCAAGAAAATGTGTAATCTAATAGTTTACAACATATATTTATGTTTAGAGTATGAATAAGGATCCTGATATTGCCTTAATTATATTCATTGCACCCTTAGACTTTTGCTAATAATGAAGAGTTTAAACCATACTTTGAGGAAAGATTTCAATTATGATTTTTACAACATTTTGGCCTTTCAAAGGTTTTCTAAAACTGTTCACAGGGGCAAAACAAATCTTTGTCCATTCTGTGTCATGTCCTAGTTATGAGGAGTCCATTTTAACTTGAGCTATTAAAGCGAAAAAATGTGAAACTTTCTGGGAATGTCGGTGATAGTCAAATGTTACTGATTCACTTAGTTAAGTATGTATTAGGGCTTTTTATGTTGTTTAAAACCCCCAAAAGGTCTGTATGTCAAGTCCATTATGCTGGAATAAACCATATGCAACACCATTCTCATACATGTATTGGATGGAGGACAAAAAATGAAGTACATAGATTTCTGTTAAAACTCACTATCAGGAACAGTCCTGGCAGTTTGAGTTATGGGTTCACTCCTCTCATCGCCACTTTCAGTTACTACGGCAACGAAATATATTATCCCTGGGGTTAGACCCGTGATCTCTGCAGCCGGGTCAGTGAAGTCTCCATTGAATACAGCTATGCCATGATCAGGTGTGACTGTGATGGCAAAGTTATCTGCATCTCCTTGATACCCCCATACCAGGTTTAGTTCCCGCTGGCTAGACAAGATGCTCAACCCAAATGGAGTTGCAGGAACTGTTTGGAAAAAGTAAGGGACATTGCGGCAATGAAGACACGTGCACCTGTAACGATTCATCCACATCAATTTCCTAACTTACCCTCGACCCAACACAATACCTAACCCAATCCTAAACCCAAACCTAACCTAAAACCAAACTGCAACCAGACTTCTTTAATACTTCAACCCTGGACCCAACACTATAGCTAACCCTAATCCTAAACATACTTTAAAACCTAACTTCAAGCCCAACTGCCACCCTAACCCTAACCCTGATCCTAATCCCATACTGTTGACCAAATAAAGCCTGAAGTAATTGCCGAAGGTCACCTCCGGTCTTCTGAGATCAGAGTTTATATCCATCATAACACAAATCTGCCAAATTGATTGGTCAATTGTCATCATATGATGAAATATACTTATTATACCGTGCAAAAAAGGTTGTAGTATTGCATGCTCGTGCACATGTAACAAAATGTTTATTGTCAAATGAGAGCTAATTACTTTATTTTCCATATTTGTAGAATATCTGATGATTGTATGAGGTTGGGTAAGGCCGTACATGAAGAATAATGATACTTTTGATGTCTTTTCATGATCTTAATTCCTCAACTTTACTTGCTAAAATAAGGAACACCACATCATCAAATACATGTACCTAGCACTTGCCCGAGTATTGTCATTATCATTAGCAGTAGAAGTATTACATGTATTATCATCATTATCATCATCATTTATTAAAGTCATCATTTTCCCTCTTATAAGAAGTTACTGAATTTCCCGCCACGATGACACTTTATCTCTCAACTTATTCTTGTCTTGAGCATCCTCTTCATTTAGACCAATCTTACTGCTTTTCTTTCGTCACCATATCTTTCCATAAAATATTCGGTCTTCCTTTCCCTGTTATGCCATCCATTTCCAGATCCCATGCTCCCACGCTCTTTTCACAGCTTCGTCATCTTCCCTCCACAACACATGACCCATCTATCTCAATTAACTTCTCCTTACCACTTCAACCACAGTTTATTCCATGAGCTCCGTTGGGTTCCTTCTATCGTACAGTTTCACACCACACATCTTCCGTATCATGACCCTTTCTTTTTTCCACTAGATACCTTTTTCTTCATCACAAATTTAAAAAAAATAATTCCTTATCAATGTTACTACTATTACTACTTTTCTTAATTACCTGTTCTCTGATCCACACTCTTCTCCTCGCTGGTCTTTAGTGTCGCGTCTTGAACACCAACCCCACTCACCGACACCACAGTGAAGTTATAGCTCCTCCCCTGTGTTAAATTTGACACTTGAGAAGAATACTCATTAACACCAGGCGTGTAATCTACTCTGATTGGTTCCTGACTGTCGGGTTTAAAGGTCAACAGGAAATAGTTGTAGACGCAGTCTGAGCACTGCACGAGATTCCACTGTACATCGACAGTAGTTGTGGTGGGTTCCGTGACAGCAATGCTTTCAACCGATTCAGGCACTGCAATTAAAGGATAACAAAATCAAGTGCTTTACCAGTTAACCAACCAAAATATGCACTGTACCATCATCATAGTGGCATTATAGGCAGGTGGTCTTTATGTAGGGGTTCGTTTTAGTACATGTTCCAATGAGAAACAGTTTTCAAGAGAAACCGAAAGTGTGGTCTTTCTAGACAGGTGGTCGCTGAAGCAGGTTTCACTGCAGTGTGTAACTCTACGACGGGCCTCGTCTTATAAAGAGTTGATATCAATCGCAAATTTATTTGCAATCGATAGCAATCGCAACTATGGACATAAAATATAAAAGACTGCAAAGTTGCGATCGACACGATGGCTTGTGATTGATTTGGATCAATCACAACTCTTTATAAGACGGGGCCCTGATGTACTAGATAATACAAACCTGCAACCAGGTTGATAAGACTCGAAGCTCTGGTGCTGTTAGAGGATGAGTTTGTGCCCACTTCACTGTAAACAGTCATGCTATAGGTCGCCCCTGGTCCTATCAGGTTCACACAAGCTGCTGAGAATGATTCTCGATCGGTGTCTCCAATGGTGGATGGGGATGCGTATCCATGGCTACACATGATGCTGTAACTCTCTACCGTGTCGTTCTGCCTCATCCAGGATACGCTAACTGACGTCAGGGTCGAGGGTCCTTCCTTGAGGTCCACTCCAAGGGGCACTACATGTTTTTGTATAATAATAATAATGTTAATAATGATGATGGTGATAATAATAATAATAATATAATAATAATATTAATAATAATAATAATAATAATAATAATAATAATAATAATAATAATATAATGATAAAATATTCATACGATGTACATCGCATTCTAAACATTAAAGTTTCTCAAACATACTACTGATTACAAAGAAGAACAAGCGATTAAAGTGCATGTCCATGTACCGGTACATGTACCTTGGTATACTGTAAGATTTGATGGTCTTATCATCTGCACCGTCTATTCAACTTACGGGCAAAGACTTCAACGGTGCTGATGGCGCTCAGCTTGTCGTTGCTAATAGCAACCACCGAGAGGTCGTACTGTTCTCCAGATCTGGGTAACCCTACGCAGTAAGCCGTCAGCTGCTGCCCGCCTTGACTTCTGTCCACAGGAATAGATGCTGGCGAGGCAGTACCATTGGAGCATGTGATATTGAAGGTATCCACCACACTGTCAGGGACTGTCCATGTAGCTGAGATGGCTGTCGTGTTAGACTCACCAGGGGAAAGTTCAACGGCCTCTGGTACTATTTTAAAGAAATAATTCAACAAAAAAATCTTGATATGTACTTTCCTTTATTAAACTAATTTAAAGATGTCTACTTAAAACATGAAAATGCATATCTAATCTTTGAGATTTCTACAAAACCATGTTAACTTCTCAATGTTAACCTTTTCAACGAAGTTGGCTGTTTTAACAGCCCTAATCTCAAAGCTAAATCTCATATCGTTCAGATCTATAAAAGATTGTTTTTGTTTTTTCGTGAAATTTGAAAAAAAAACATGAGGGTCTAGATAATAGATTGTGACGATAGTTGGTATAAAAAAACACTACTTCCAAGAACTTTCTTGGTTTCTATAAATGCTTTTGTTTACTCATCCTCCTTTTATGATCTTGTTATATTTCATATATGTGTAATATTGTATAGCTCATTAAATGTCAACAGACATGAAATGCGCTATAAAAGAATAAAGTATTATCATATATTACATTACTTTTATCACGAGGAACATTGTAAAAACACACATGTTTTTAATCGTCTTTATTACTTGCCGCACATGTTTATCTACATGTTTGTAGACCTACATGTCATGGCAGTGTAAGAGTTAAAGGGAGATGGTCCTCAGATTCCATTAGTAGTTCATAATTCGCCGACACCAGACTTGGTGAAAATACCAGTAATGGAGTGTACAAGTCTCGCACACAGCAAACCTGTAATCCAATCAAATACCCCCTAGTCTCTAGATTTTGTTTGCAAATGGATACATTTACATCATGGTGGTGCATGAATGATGAAGCATGTTCAATGCATCATGGGAGAGTGAGGAAAGTATAATCTTTGATAGGGCTATTCATGTATTGAATTGACGAGAAAGAGCTGCTTAAATAAAGAGAATAATTATGATCATATATTGGATATCTATAAAGCGCCCATATCCACCAAGCAAGGTGCTCGAGGCACTCTAAGGGTACTCCGACTCTGCTAGGCTCACAGCATTCTAGAATTACCCATTTAAAATCTGGGCAGAGAGCAGCAAATGTAGATTAATATCTTGCTAAAGGGCCATAGTGCCGCGGCAGGACTCGAACCGCGTACCAAGTGATCCACAGTCCGGCAACGTATCCACTAGACGATGACGCATCTTACAAGATTGAGTTCTGGGGCCCGTTTCACAAAGGCTTTTTGCAATGACAAATGACAAAAATCAGTGACAACTCTGCTGATAACCAATCAGAAGCAAGGATTTCAGTAGCTTATAACAAAGACTGTCATTTGTCACTGATGACAAGTTTTGTGAAACGGGTCCCTGGTAAAGATTGTCTTACTACAGACATGATACTAAATGAATTTTCCCCCAAATGTTGCAGATGTTTCATGAGTAATGTATGATGACACATACCATGGCTGTGGTGATTATATGCGAAGTACATCATGTGACTGGAGCAAATGATAATTCACCACAGTTGCGTATCGAATGTAATACATGTACTCACAAGCTGTCAATACAATCAAGGCTGAATTTCTCTGTGTTTTACTAATACTGGTGACCGTCATTGTGTAATTATCCCCTGGAGTATCCAGGCCCATGCACGAGGCCAGATACTCCACGTCTTGGACCGAATCTAAACCTTGATCTAAACTGATCTAAACCTTTAACAACTATTTAAAAGAAATCGCATAACGATATTGAATTTGAATGATTATTTGATGACTTTATCTTATGAGTACGCACATTTACAATGACTTTGAATGTAATATATATTCATAATTATTGATTTTTATATGAATAGGTTATCAAAATTCACATTTTTCATGACTTAACTAGGAAAATTACTCTATATTAGTGCATCCACACAAAAACAAATTACTTTCAATCTAGCTTTGATGCTGGTGTGAAGAAATAAGATTCTTAGGGGAAAATAGGAAATTTATGTTATCAATATAAAGAAAATAATTAGCGGTTAGGACCAGTGAGGACCAGACGTCACAGACTCATGAGTGAGTTGCCAATTTGTCTTGTGATTTTCAAAGTTGTTCATGTCATTCAAAATCATAACTTTCTTATTAGTTAGCCGATTTTGCTCAAACTTTTTTTTAATTGGTTTGTCTGATTTTCAGCTTCTATTGAAAGAAATTTATTTTTGGAGTGGACTTGCCCTTTAACATCCTGTCATAGCTTGCACTTCTCTGCTTTTAAAATAAGAATTAAAATTTAGCAACCCAAGATACACTTCCACACTCTATTCATGATGTATAATGTATATAGAATAACATGATCATTGGTATATCCACCACGTATTAAAAGAGTATGTATATGTTTGAATAAGATGAGCATATATTGATTCTTGGAATTTCTTTGATAATCAAAGCACAAGTCAAGCCTACAACACATGAGCTTTGGACCAGGAAATAAAATGAAATATTCCGTTATAGCACAGCTTTCATAGGGGTCCAATGTTTTTAGTTTTAAAGTGTGTTGCTTCTGCCTGTTGATGCCACATTTCCTTTATTTGGTCAATCAGGAACATAACATATACGAGTGTCAACATAGTATCAGACCAATACAACTCTCTGAAATTCACCTTCAATCAGAGTATATGCTTCTTTTTTTTTCCCCTTTCTTCTTATACAAATTTTATGATACATGTTATTGGTTTTTTGGGGGGGAACGATCAACAGTGAAAGAAATTTGGTTAATGTTACTGAAAATCCCATGCAGCAAATACATGTGTGTATATATTAGAGTATGAAAGTTTGCTCTAAACTTTTAAGCTATTTAACATTCTGAATATGAGGGCCTTTTATTCAAAGAGTAATCCTTTTCAGGGACATTTCTAATATGATATTGCTGTGCAATACTAGATAAATAATAATAATAAATCCGGATTTATATAGCGCTTAAAACGGAATACAGTCTTTGGGCGCTTTACAAATATTAAACATGTTTACCCTGGTCGTCGGATATTCCTTCAATCAGTGTTTACATATTTCACTATTCTTGGGAAAATTTCTACCAAATATTCACTATGAGGGCATATGGCAATTTCTGTCACAAAGGTTTTCATCATTCCTACCAGGTCCCTTTTTCTCTCCTGGATCTGGTGTGACAAATGTTGCTTAATGTATTGCCATAGCTTATGGTTCATTAGTACCACGTCAGAAATCAAACCCATAACCTTTGCATTTCCAGTCAAGTGCTTTAACAATTTGACTACACCCTCCCCCCACATAGACAACACGGCTCTTTGTATTTATTGTTAATTTTTCATATTTATATTGACAATGACATGCTACTTATTTTGTTTTTGTTTTCTCTCTTCACCATTGTGTATATATCTAATTATTTGTTAACACGTACAATCTTCTTCTTTAGCATACATTTTCACACTTTTAATCAACAGTTTGTATCCGACAATGTCATGTTAGTAATTAATGTAATGGACCATTTGACATTGACAGACAGGCCTTGTGCTAAAGTCTGGTGCGACTAATTCAAAACGGACGTACAATGATGAGTAAGTTATTTCACATGAAACCAAAACTCACAAGAATTCTCGTCTCCAATTATCAGACCTATCAGAACTTCAACTCTTTTTCAAACTCAATTGAATTCTTTTCGAATGAGTTTCCAAATAAACATCTGCAATGAAAACATTAGCTATGTTCTCAAAGAACTGTCATAGTTTTAAAACTTTGTGAAACCTCAAAGTTATAAACAACAATCCACTACCCACGATGGAGGTTCACAAGTGCCCCAACTAATGAGTATTCAAAGGATAACACTGCATGCCACGCAGGCAGTAATTTTGGCTGCACAAGTTCATTATGTCTGCATGGCACATACTGTGAATGTAACTTCAAATGAGGACCATCAACTGAAGTTATCACGGTAACTTTAAGATTGCTCGTGGTTAATAACTTTGGGTAAACTTAAAATTTAGTAGCCATGATTGCATCCATATGGTCCTCAACTACAAGATAAATTCGAAGTTTAAAACTACAACCTAAAGTTTAAGTTAAAGGACCGCTGTATGAACCTAACTAATATGAATTCATGCATATTTTAAGTCATTCAGTGTCAATAGCATCACTGGGGAACAAAGGAATATTTTTCCATTTAATTATTAAGGCTAATGCCATGTTTCATTTTTAACAAGTAGTTTAAACGATCAATGTGCAAATCATTCATTTTTTCATGCGTTATTTAAACTAATCTTGATTTAAAAGGCATGTAAAATGGGTGTTACAAGTGGACAATTAAAGCGAACTTTGGAAATAATGAAGCCCCAATACAACTTGGAGCCTCTTTTTACTGAAGAGCATACTTCAAAACGAAACATGCATATTACCCTATGAAATTAAGTCCTGTAGGAAGGTCATACAAATGAATGCTCCATCACCAAAACAATGTATTCAAGCATGTACATCTATTTCATGAATTCTTGCAAATGCAAGGCTAGAGTTTCCAATATCTGTCTTATCAACCTGTTTGTAATTGGAAGAATTAAGGCAAGTCTTTCCCTGGCCTACTGTAGCATATTAGTTACAAACTAGTTTCTGTCAAAATGGTAACGTAAACAATTCACCCAGTGGCTACAGAGCATTGGTGAACTCAAACAAACAATGGATTTGATTAAAGGCATTATCTACGCAGCATAACCTACCTACAAGGATGGCATTACATGCGTTATAACTAAAAGCCTCACAAAAACATCCCCCTCCAAATATATCAATCAAGTTAATAAATCAAATATATCAATATATCATTTTTCTAACATTTTTTTTAAAGCACTATTTATGCGAATCAAAGCTTATACATGTAATTGTCTTGACTTTGTTTGAAAGAAACATTTTATTGCATTCTTTTACATTAGATCCATATCTACAGGTACATACTAAAATCACTGGTACAAAAAAATGACACAGAGGAAAAGTACATTTCAGTACAATTTCATTTGAATGAGCTCTCAATGTTGCTTTCTATTAACTTATGTTTATTTTGTTGTCTTGTTTACCCAGGGTGAACTAGTTTGACACTATTATTCTTGAGAGCCCTGCAAACTTAAACACATGAAATAAACATAATACGAATCACATTTTATTTTGTTTATGTTTGGAGGGATGATGAATGTTTCTTTGAATTGCTTTCAAATATAAGACCTTCCTTTCAGTCACGTTCAGAGGTTTTCAGAATGAATTGGAAATCGGCATAGAGGGTTTTTACCCAGTATGTGGAGGGGCTCCCACGAGGTACCTTCCAGAATCTTTAACTGGACACTTTCCTTTTTCAAAAATCATGTTTGGACTGAGGATTTCAGTATAGAGAGCTATTAGCGATGGCGCCTTGAGCTGCCAGCAGGCAGTTAAAAGGATCTCACTAGACACTGACAATTTTCAAAGAACTTACAAGCTGTGATGGTGATGTTAGTATCATTACTGATTTCATCTCCGCTCTGTGATGTGACAGTGATAGTGTAGTGTGCCCCGGCAGTAGATAGTCCCACACAAGATGCCTGGTAGACGGCACTCCCATTTTCCGCTATTGGTGAAGATGGGTC